AATAAAATTTTGATTATTAAATATTAAAAATTATATATATTAAATTATACTAAAAATAAAGTATTTATGTGTTTTATAGTATATTTATATTTTTTATAAAAATATATTTAAGATTTATTATTTGTTAATCATTTTTATTAAATAAATAAAAAATAATTTTTGGTAAATTAGAATTGATAATATTAATATTTGTATATAAATAGATTTATTTTAGAAGATTTTTTAAAAAGAAAAAAAAAATATTTATATAAAGAAACATATATATTATATATGAAAAAAATAAAAAAATAGTATTATAAGAATTTATATATTCTTAAATTATTAAGTTTAAAAGTTTGTGTAACTAATATGATTATTTAATAATTGTTTTATGAAATTATAAATTAATTAAAAAATGAAAAATGTATTCTATATTTAAATTTCGATTAATTCTATATTAATAATTTACTTTATTACCTTAAAGAATTGATAAAAGAAAAAACTTCCAATTGACTAAATTTAAAATAATAATTAAAAATAAATATATATATCATTGAATATGTTTTTCTTCATTTTAAATAATAAAGTGTATAAGAAAAATTTCTAGTCATATATATAATTATTAAAAATAATTATAAATAAATATCTATTTATTTTAATATTAAATATCTTACTTACTTTAACAAAAAATTTATATTATTTTTATCGAATTATTTTATTTTAAATATATTAATAATTAGTTTATTTTTTTATTTATAAAATTCAATTATAATTATATTTATTACTAATAGATAGATTCTTTATTATATATATTATATTTATAAAACATATATTTTTAAATAACATATTATTATTATTATATATATATAAAAATTTACCTAAACATTCAGAAATATTACATACCTAATATAGCTAAACCTTCCTTATAAAATAGAAACCAAAAACAATATATTCATAAAACTCCTCGAATGCCTTTATCAAATATAGTAAACTACTTATATAAAAAATTCAAGTAATACATTACTCAAATAAATACGATTAATTATCAAAAAAACTATAAATTTACACTAAAAAAAAATATAAACCCGATTTCATAAACATAAACCATGGGCCAGGCCGAACTGTATTTTTTTATGAAAAAACTATTTTTTTTAGATAAAAAAAGTACCTAGAAATTTTTAAAAACATATATTAATAAAAACTAAAAGCCTTTATAATCATTATTATTAAAATTCAATATAAAACCTTTTTAAAAGGGCCTTTCTTAATTTTTTTACCATAAAGCAAATTTTTTACATAGAGTGACTTTTTACAAATAATATAATTTAAAAATTTGAAAGATTCATGTAAATATTAAAAAGTATATAAAATATAGTATATATTATCCATATAGAATTAATGTATAAATGAATATAAAAAAAAGGATTCGATAAAAGGAAATATTTTACAAAAGCAATTTAAATTCAACCAAATTTGTTTGGGATTATTTTATTCATTTAGGGATATAAAATATTGTTTGAAATTATTATAAACTAATAAAAATATAAGAAATATTCGAATTTAATTATTTATTATCTACATATATACATTAGTATAAACTAATTCAACTCTTAAATTAATTCTTTGATTAAAATTACAGAAATTCAGCATCATTATATAATTAATTAATAAAAAATAAATAATTAAATAGTGCATTAGTAAATATTTACACGAAAAAAAATAAAAAAAATAAAAAAAATAAATTAATGTATACTATTTTTAAAATAGTATTTTTTCATATAAATTTTAGCTTGATAATTTTGAAAAAGAAAGCATTTTATATATAATGAAATATAATATTTTTTAGAAAAAACAAGTACTGTAAATAAGTATTTTAAATTATTTTTTTAGTTAATATAAATAGTTTTTGGAAAAACTAAACGAAAAAAATCAAGATTTAATTTGACTTTATATTTTTTATTGTTTTTGAAAACATGTTTATAAAGTTAGCCTTTATTATTAATTTTATTAAAGTTGAAATTTAAGACGCGATAATTATTAATAATAACTAAAAATTATTTTTTTATTAAATAAATTGTTAATCAAAAATTTTTTGTTGAAAAAAAAAAAAAAGACTTTAAAAAGAAAAATTACAAGTAAAATATAAAAATTGATTATTTATTTGATTTTTGAAAAAAAAAAATATATATTTATCTTTTATTTAATTATATTTTAAACTTTTCTTTTTTGTTTTTGTTGTTGATGAAATTAATATTTTTTTTTTTTTAATTCTTTTATCAAATATTTTTAAGTATAATTAAATAAACTTAAATTTTAGTAAATTAATTAATAAAAATTATATATAAGTAAACATAGATAGATATGTTTAATATAATATTTTTTTTTCTAATAACTATATTAAATAATAAAAAACAAAACAAAAACATGAACGAAAAAAGCAAATAAGAAAATTCAATTGAAAACAATAATTAGATATTTCGCTAATAAATAAATCAATCTCTCCAAAAACTAAAGTAAAAAGAAAAAAAAGAAAAAAAAAGAAAAAATAAAAATAAAAAAAGTGAATAAGACACATAATAAATAGCATTTAAAGAATTAAAAAAAATCTTTATATTGTACACCAGAACTCCTTAACGGCTCCAAATAATACTCGAATTAATATTAATCGAAAACTATTAAACATTATCTTTATACTTAAAAAAAGAAACCATAAAATTAATTAATTTAATATCTTAAATATTCTAAATTCGCCTTTTATAATTCTACCCTAAAATATTATCTTTTTTTAGCAAAATAATAACTTCATCTACTATTGAAATTTCATTACATAATTTAGTTTCGGAATAACTAGGTCATTTAGTCCATAATTCATTAAAAAATATTAATTTTAATTAACAACTTTCATACATAATTTAAATAATAAAAATGCTCTAAAATATATTTTTATAACCTTATTAGAGTTTAATCACCTTATAATTATTAAGTTTATGCTTTCGAAAACTAATATAAAATTCTCCTGTGGACTGTATAATATATTTAAAAGAATAAATATTCACTTTTATTATCGAATAGAGTAAAAACTATAAAAAATTGACTTTTAATTTACTTAATGTTATATTGGCTTTAATAGTTTGTATAGAAAATAACATTTAGCCCTTTATGAAAATTCTAATGCCGGTTTTAATTAATGTTTTAAAAAATAATTATTAGTGGAATTGTAAAAAAATAAGCTTGGATATAATATATATGCTTTTTATTTTTATGGAAAATAATACAGAAATGGAAAAATTTTAAGAATAAATTTTTTAATTTGTTAGTATTTTTAGAAGAAATAAAATAAAAATTTTAAGGAAAACTGCAAATTCTATTTTTTAATTTTTAAAAAAAACTCAAAAGTTTCTTTAAAAGATGAAAGTCTTCTATAAAATGAAAAGCTTATAAATGTAACTTAAAATTTCTTTAAAAATGCAGTTAAAGATAACTAAATAGATATTAAATATAATAATTATAAAGTTTAGAATAATATATTGACTTTAAATTAAATTTATTTAACAACTAAAAGTGAAGATTATAATAGCTTTTGTAAATAAAGTTAAGAAAAAAATAATATTTTATAAGAAAAAAATTAATAAAAAGAAGAAAAAAATTAATAGAATTAAGAAAAAAGTACATAAGTTTAATTATATTAAGATCCACATAATTTTCATTAATAAAAATAAGATGTAAATAGCTCTATTAATTAAATTAAGAAAAAAATAATTTATAATAAATTCAAGAAAATAATAATTTGATTTAAAAAGAACATAAAAATTATGTCAAATAAAAAAGTTTTAAATAAAATTAATAAAAATTTTTAATTTTAATAATTATACATCCTTTATAAATAATTAATAGTTACTTTAAAATAGAATTAATAAAATTTCTTATAATTAAGATATTATTTAAAATAAAATTAGTAAAATTGATAATATACTTTGCAATAAAATTGAAATAATAAATTAAAAAGTAACTAATATAGAAGAAATTGTATTTTAATAAAAAATTACTTTATAGTTATTATAAAAAAATAAAAAAATAAAATTAGAAAATAAAATCAATAATATAAATAAAATATAAAATAATAATAATTATGAAAAAGAAAATAATAATATAAAAAATTAAATATCTAATTTTATAAAAGAATAATAATTTAATAAAGTATATTATTAATGTTAATTAATATTATATAAATATAAAAGGCTATTAATCTAGCTTAAAATAAAAATAATCCTTTATTAATATTACATATAATATAATAGCAAAGTAATTAAAATTATATAAATAAAGAAAATTATTATTTATATATATATATATATTATATATAAAAATTTATATTTATTTATATATTTTTTTATATAAGATTTTGAAATTCAATAATTAGATAGACTTTATATTTTACTCTTGTTATATTTATTTAATTTATTTATATAAAATAATATTATTATTAATTAAATATTCGAATGGATTTTAAAAATGCTTGATTTATATATATTCTTAAGTTTTAATTTTATAGATAATTTAAAAACAAATATAATAAAATTATATAAAAATAAAATAAAAAAAAAATATAACTAATGAATAAAAAATTCTTATAAATATATTAATTTATAAATTATATATATTTAGATAATAATTATTTATATAAAAAAATTGAAATAACATATATATTAATTAGTTTAAGAGTAAAAAGTTTAATTTTAAAAATTATAAAAAAAAATATATATAATTAATATAACATATAACTTTTAAGATTGTATTTAATTTTTATTTATAATTTTTTATAAAATAGGAATTATTTAAATACTTTTTTATATATATTTATAAAAATCTTTAATTTGTATTTTTTTATAGGAAACAAATTAAAAAGTTCCATTTTTCTTTATTATATCTATATTTTTTACAAAAATAAGTTATTTTTATTATTTATATTTTAAATAAATAAAAAAACAAATTGAAATAATTAATATTAATAAAAATAACAAATGGTAGCAAAAGAATAATAAAAAGTATATAAAGATAGATGCAAATATGAAACTACTTAATAAACAGAAACTTATAGATAAACTTTAGCAGTTAAATATATATTATAAATATAAATAAACATAAATTAATAATAAATATAATACACATATATATATATATCAGAAAGAAAAAAAAATACTAGCGGCAAAAACAAATGCAGATATAGAAAAGCTAGATCCATATTTTAACACAAACAATAATTATTTAGGTATATTGAAAAAAAATCCGGAATCTTAAAGTACATCAATTAATTAAAAAGTAGATACTTAAAATACTTATATTTCAAATAAATTAATTTTTTATATATTTTATTTTACATAAAATAAAAAGCATCCTTTAGATCAATTAGGTGTAATAGATTAAAATTATTGTTAAAAATGCAAAAAAGATGTAGGCTTTTGTTTACATCAAAATAAAAACGATAATATTTATAATCATCAGAATGATTTAAAATTCCCAGCTACAAGGTATTTAAATATTTAAATTAATAATAATAATATATAAAGATTTATTTTTTTTAAAAAAATAAGTTCATAATAATATGGATGGAGATAACCTATTGATACCATGACTTGGGGATATGGTATATAAGGTACTTTATAAACATTTGGAAGTAGTTTAAGAGGTGTTGAAAAAAAATAAGAAAAAAAAGAAGAAAAAAAATGATTAAATAAATATTATTTAATTATTAATTTTTATTTTGTTTACTTATTTTTTTATTTATACATATATATATATATGCAATATAAAAATATAAATTGTTAAAATAATTATTTTATATTTTATTTGAAATTTTAATATTAAATAAAATATATAATAATAAAAAAAATGCAAATTAAAAATATATTTTATATTATTATAACTATTTTTTATATAAATAAAAAAGTAATAATAATAAATATATTTTTATTAGATATAATTTTAATTATATCATTATTTGATTTTTAAATTGTATTTTATATGAAAAATTAAATATAAAAAAAATAAAGAAAAAAAAAATTAATTAAAAAAAAATTAATATTAAAAAATAGTATTATAGACGTATGTATATAATTAATATGATATAAATAAAATTAGTATATAAAAGTATATAGTTATATATATATAAATATATTTATTTTTAAATATGTATTTATATATTTATATTCATTTTTTTATAATTTTAAATATTTTTATAAAATCAATATAAAAATGAACATTTAATATTCTTTTAATATGAAAATAAAAAATAAATTTATATTTAATATATATTATTTTATAAAAATATTATTTTAATAATATTATTTTAATTATATTTATTTTTATTTATAAAAAATAAATTTTTAATAAAACTTACATTTTGTATAAATAAAATTATATTAATATTTTTTAATATAATACTTTATTTTATTTAATAAATAAAAAATATAACTATTAATTATATATTTTTTTTATAATTCTAGAAAGATTTTTTATTATTTAAATAAAAGGATACTTTAATAGCTATTATTATTTTTGTTTTATTTTAAAACAAATTTATATAAAATAAAAAATAAACATATTGATTGTAAATTTTTAAATACTTATATTTATTTTTGATATTATAACAAAAAAAAAAAATAACCAAAAAAAAAAAAAAAAATCATAAATTAATTTTAATAATTTTAAATAAAAAATAAATTATTATAAAGTATTTTTTAAAATTAAAATAAAAAATTAAATTTTAAACAAAATTTAAAAAAAAAAAAACATGAATAAATCTTCCAAGGATAATCAAGTAAAAGTAAAATTTTTAATACTAGGAGAATCTGGAGTTGGAAAATCTTCCCTTTTATTGCGTTTTACTGACAATAAATTCAATAATAATTTCGTAATGACTTTAGGTGTAGAATACAAATAAAAACAAATTGAGATAAATTCTACAAATGTTATAATATAAGTATGGGATACAGCAGGTTAAGAAAGATTTAAGACAATCACTCCAATATATTATAAAAGTGTAGATGCTGTAGTTATTGTATATGATATTTGTGATTAAAAATCTTTCGAATAAATTAATGATTGGATCGAAAATTTAAAAGAGCATACAGATATTAACAATATTAATATGGTTTTAGTAGGAAATAAAAGTGATATGTAAAACGAGAGATAAGTTAATAAAGAAGACGCATTAAAATAATCAAAAATATATAATATTGAACATTTTGAGGCATCAGCAAAAGGCAATTATAATGTAAATGCAATTTTCGAGTTTTTAGCAAAATAAGTAATTGAAAAAAAAGGAGGATTTTAAATGTTTTAAAATAAAGAACCTAAAGGGGAAAAACTTAAGGTTTAAAAAAATAATAAATAATAAAAAGATTGTTGTTGAATATTTTTTATTTTACATTTGTTTTATATATATATATTATTATCATTATTTTATGTATATTTATGATTTTTTTTTTATTTTAATCATTTTTATTATGTATGTTTCAATTATTTTATTTTGTTTGTATATATTTTTACATTCTTTAAAGTAAAGATTATTTATAAAATAAATTTAATATAAAAATAGAAAATTTGAACAATTATTTTATTAATAGTTTTGTTAAAAATAAGAAAATATCTATTTCTCAATAACATTTATAAACTATCTCTATATTTTAAAATTATTTTAATATTTAAAATTCTATTTGAAAATACCAATATTATAATATTATTAATATATGATTTGATTTTATTAATTTTTATGATTAGAATTATATATATATACTATATATATTTTTTTGAACTTAAAAAAGAATAAAAAAAGATAATTTGGGATTAATTTAAGTATAAGAAAATATATCAAAAAAATAATAATTAAAAAAAAATACTCGAAGTTTAAAATTTAGTCAAATACCAATCAAAAAAAACAAATATATGCCTAAGCATAATATGTTTTTAAGAATATAAATATTATTAAAAGAAATTTTTTTAATCAATAAATTAAAAGAAAAAAGCAAAAACACAATAAAATCATTTTAAAAGTTTAGAAATTAATTTTAATATTTTAAATATGATTAAAATTTAAAAACATAAATATAATATTAAACTATTAAAGATAAATATAATAATATTAATAAATGTAATTAAATAGATATTCATTTTAAAAATTAATAAATAAACCTATTTTGTATAATTATTAATAAATAAAATGTTAATTGAATATTTAAGTATCATTTCGAAATATTGAATAATAATATTAATATTAATTTATTATTATTATAAAAAAAAAAAAAAAAAAGATATATAATAACTTATTTTATACAAAAAAAATTTATATAAATAAATAAATATATAAATATATATATATATATATTTACATATATACATATTTACATATATACATATATTATTAAAATATAAAAAAAAAAAATTAATGTTTTTATTTAATTATTATTTTATTTTTTTAACTAAAAATAAAAAAAAGACAATATAAATAAAAAAAATAGAAAAAAAAATATTAAAATCAAAACTTTATCCAGAAACTAAAAATGTATAAATTAAGAATATAACATAAATATTTCATTTCATAAAAAATAAGAATAAAAAAATTAAAAATTATACCTATATAATATAAAATATTAAAAAAAATATATTGCCTGTATATTTAAAAATAAAAATAGGTTTTTACATCAAAGAATAAATTACATAAAATGCCAAAAAGACGGTTTTCACGAAAACGAGAGTCTAAATTATGTATGTATAGAGAAAAATTGTATAAAAAAAAGAATTTTGTCGGTTGTTAATTTTGTATGGAACAAGATCACAATAAATGTCGTAAAATGCCATTAAAAGAAATTTGTAATAAAGTGAATATACTCATAGATACATTAAAAAACGAAAAAATAACGAAAAAGTATAAGAATATATACAAACACAATAGTCTTTTATGTAAATAGTAGAATAAAACAGCGAGAATATACTTCAAAGTGTAATATAATGGGCAACAGGATTAACTGAAAAAACAAGAAACATATAAAACTTATGTATTTAAATATTCGAGAATATGAAAGAATAAACAATAAAAAGATTAAATTAATAAAATAAGGTTGATTCTTTATTACAAAAAGTAATTTCTTGCACAAATAATAAAGAGTCCTTATAAAATTATATGGAGGAGATTTTAAACTCATTTCCTTTAAATAATATAGAGAAACAAAATGAGAATAATATTTAAAATAATAATAAAAATTAAAATATTAATTTTAATGAAATAAATATGTAATTAACTAATCTAAAATAATTCTTTTAATCTTTTTAAAAAACTTTATCCAAAAACGATTCTATTATTTCTCTTTTAAATAAATAAGAATAGTATTTATAAGATATTTTTTAAAAAAATTCCATACTGGATTCGATTCTCGAAACATAATTTTTAGACCTCACTTTTTCTACTGTAGATAAACACTAAAATATTTAAATAGTTTCCCCATTTGTGGCAAAAAGTATTCCAGGTTCAGCAAGTAATTATAAGTTTATTTTAACTAATTAAGCTTTACCGATGAATATGTAAACTAAATTTGCACTCAAAATTAAATCAAGTAATTAATCAACTAATGGGTGGATCGCTCTAGGAGTTGCTTTGTAAAAAGTAAAAATTATTTTATTTTTTTTGAAATAAATTTATAAAATTATTTATAAAGATTATATAATAGAAAAATTTTGGGTTTGGACTAAATGTAGGACATGGAGCTTATTTAATTTCGTCAAATAAAGGATCATGGAGTCATTCAGATGCTAATAATAATAATATAGTAAAATCATTTGATTTTTCAGATGGAAATATTGTTGAATTATTGTTTGATCCAATTGATGGGTTTTTACATTTTTAATTAAAAGAAAATCCATAGAAAAATTATAAGTTGTAAATAGATAATAAAATTTAAGGAGATTATTATCATCCTTGTGTTTTATTTTATTATGCAGGAGATGAAATAGAATTAATATATCCATATAATAATTGATAAAAATAAATTATTATATATATATATATATATATATATATATATATATATATATATATTTATTAATAAATCATTAATTTTTTTTTATTTATATGTAAAAATTTAGACAAAATTTTATATATAATTTAAAATAAATAAAAAATATTTAATTTCCAATAATAAAATATATAAATACAATATTTTATTAAAATTAATATTAATATATATATTAATATAATTTAAGAATTAATTTTTTTGAAAAATAAATATATAATTTTAATGTTAAATTAAATTTCATTAATTCAATAAATCCATATATTTATTGATATTTTAATAATAAATTTATATATTTGTATACGTATATATATATATTTTTGTAATATAATATTATTTATATTTTTTATATTTTATATTATTATGATATTTAGTTCTTTATATTTTTAATTATTTATAATATTTTTTTATCCTTTATTATAAATTATTTATTTAATATTATTATATCATTTAAATATATTTTAATATCAAATTATTATTAATTTAATAAAATATGATAATAAAAGTATCATATATAAATAAGATAAAATAAATTTTTTATTTTTTATTATTATAATATATACGAGTGTTATTTTTTTTATTATTTTAAAATTATTTAATATATCAATCTGATTAATCATAATTTTATCTATGTATAAAATTTAAATATTTATAAATAAATAAATATTATAATCATTATCTTTTTTTTTTTAAAAAAAAAGCATTATTTACAAAAATATTTTTTAAATTAAAATAAGAAAATATATTTAGAAATTAAATGTCTATAATATACGTAGTTGTTTCTAGATAAGATGTATTTTTAGCTGATTATACAACATCCTAGGGAAATTTTTAAAATGTAATGAAATAAGTAGTATGTAAGTTATCAAATAACCAAAAGCAGACATTTGAATATTCAAATTATATGTTTCATTCAATTTCAGAAGTTGGTATAAGTTACGTGTGTATGTGCGATATGTAATATTAAAGAAGACTTGCATATGCTTTTTTGGAAGAAATAAAAAGCATTATATAAAATAATACTACATAAGATTAAAGAAATAATGCAATAGATTTTACTTTTAATAAAATTATAGAAAACGATATAAAAAAAAAGTTCGAATATTACAATTCAAGTGAGTGTGATACTATAACAAAAATTAAATAAAATATTAACGAAACTAAGGATGTATTAATTGTTAATATGGATAAAATTATGGATAGAGGAGAAAAACTCGATATTATTTGCAAAAAATCAGAGGATATGCAAAAAATTTCACATACAATGAAAAGATAAGCAGGAAAAGTACATAGTGCAATGAAATGGAGAAATTATAGAATGTACATAGCGATTGCTATAATAGTTTTATCTTTGATTGGAATTATTGTACTTATATGCACTGTTTGATATATTTTATATGAAATAAATATATATATATATATATATATATATATATATATATATATATATTTATATATAAGATATATATAATAACAATTAAAATTTAATTTTTTTTCATATTTTACTAATTTTAATTAGGTTTTTAACATAAAATAATTTTTATCTATTAGATGTTTAATCAATTTTTTTTGATGATTAAATACTACCATTTAGATATTTTTAAGAATTTGAATTTTATTCATTATTTGTATTTTTATATCTATTTTTTATTTAAGCTGATTAAATTTGTTTTCTTTCAAAAAAGTCAAGTTTTTCTTATCGTCTAAATAACTATATTTTATTTTTATTTTTTTTAATATATATCATATATAAATATATTAATAAACTTCAAAAAATATTTAATTAATATTTTTTTATCCTAGTATTTTCTTGAAACTATTCTAACTTTTATCAGTTATAAATATACTTGATTTTTTAGAAGCTGATATTGGTTTAAAATGATAATTTTTTAATGAACTTTACGGTCTTAATTTTTTATGTGTAAAAAGTATAGTATTTTCGTCTTATTATTAAATTTTACTATTTGTTTCATTGCAATTTTTTTTCTCCTCCTCATTATTATCCCTTTATATATTATTCAAAGGATAAGGTATTCTATTGAAATTATAAGCTGTTTAAGGCCTTTTTACTCCACTTTTTATTTCTGATTAATTGTTATTTTCACTATTCTCAATAAACGAATAATTAGAATTTGTTTAAATTTTTTTCATATCTTCTGAATAATAATTCAATGAATCTATTTATTAATTATTTTTAAATTATTATTAAGGCTAAATGTTCCTTTTTTACAAGAAAGTACTATAAATTTATTTATTTGATTTTTCCTCATTTAATTTAGTATAGAAATTAATTTATTAGTTTTCCTATTGTTTTAATTCATTATATTTTTCCTATAAAATATCAAACGGACTCACTTTTACACCTTAAATAATCCTTTTTTATTCCATTAAGTTTTCTTAATCATTTCCTTTAATTTATTATATATAATACATATTTTTTTATCATAATTTTTTTCCAGGAAGATTTTAAGCAATTGTTTTTGTTTAATTATTATTTTAATAATTTATATTTATAAGTTTATTTACATATAACTATTCACCTTTTTATTTAATTTTATTTTATTTTTAAAAAAAAGAATTAATTATTTATTACCACATTCACATTTAAATTCGGAAAATTTCTATTATAATATGTCGTCTGTTTTTCCAAAAGCGGGTTTAGCGAATTATTTCATTTAAATATATACAGAACGAGGATTATAGGAATTTTATCTTTTCATATTTTTTTTGGTGATTATTTTGTTTTGTTTCTTTATATGTATTTTATTTGATTTAATGTATATATATTTATAAAATATATATTAAATTTTTTTTTTTTTAAATAAAAATTTAAATATAATTGAAATTATTTATATTTTTATTTTATGAATACACATATTAAATACAAATAATAATTTTAATACATTAATTAATTTTTAATATTCATTTTTATAAATTTCTATAAGTAGGAGGTTTTCCAATTTTATTTTTATTAATTTTTATAGAATTTTAATCTAACTCTAAATTATTTAAATATAAATCAGAAAAAACATAAGAACTAATAAATGAATTTTCCTTCATTAAGCTATATTTACATGTTATAGAACTCAGATCCTAATCTTTTTCATTTTAGAACATTTAATTAAAAGAACTATTTGCCTAAAACTCTGATTTTATAGTTAGAGCATCATTAATAAAAGAAGAATTAATAGTATTCTATTAATTTTATTCAATTTCATTTTTTAAAGAAAATAAGCTATATTATTTTTATTTTTTAGATTCAGAAGTACACTTTTTTTCTATAGATTTATAAGGATTAATTGTTTTGATTTTGATTTTATTTTTCTAATCTAATTAATTATCTTAAAATAAACTTTTAAAATTTTATTTTGATATTATTTCTTATTAAGAAATTATTTATTAGGAATTTTATTTTGCTTAAAAATTTTAATTATTATTATTATTGTATTTTTAAAAGTTTATTTATTTTAAAATATTGGATAACTATTATTATTAAAAATATATATATATATATTTATATATATATATATATATATATATATATATTAATTTTAATATTTATTTTTTTATATATAATATATACTTATTTTATGTAATTTTTTATTTCTTATTCATCTAATTGTTACTCTTATAAATTTTAATTATTGAATATTATTTTTGTTATCCTTTTTTTTTATTATTAATCTAAATTTACTATACTAGTAGAATATTGTTCTTGTGATGTCTTTCTAATTCTATTTTTTTTCAAATATAATGTATGTTTATGTTTTTTTTAATTTTAATAAAATTAAATAGATAAAGTGTATACATACTTTACTATTAATATAAATTTTATTAAAAATTATTTTATTACTAACAAAATTATTATTATTATTATAATTATTTTTTTTATTATTTTTATTATTTATTATAATTTTAATTTTAAACTTATTATTTAAATTAACTTATATTTTCTTAGTTATTATTATAATTTTTATTATTTTTTTCATTTTTATCTTTTAAATTATGCTGCATTAATTTCTTAATATTTAATTATTTTACAAAATATTAATTAGAATTGCTTTAATTATTTATATTATCAAAACTATATTTTTATTTTTTTATTAATTATTTTTATTCGAATATGTTATTTTATCTCGTATCAATTTATTTATTTGTTTTTTATTTATTATTTATATTTACACTTCTTATTCTTCTAATAAAATAATTTTTTTATTCTTTATTTATAAATGATGTGTTTTTTTCTTTTTGTTTATTTTCTTGTAAATTTTATATTAATTATTCTATTTAATTTTACTATTAAGTTATATTAGTAAATTATTTGATTTGTCTTTATCTTAATTTATCTTTATTATGAATTAAACAATTAGATGACATTTTTTTTATATAATTTTTATTTTATTATATAAATATTTTTTTTTAGTATTTATATTTTCTATTTTTTTAATCTTACTAAGAAAATATAGTTTTTTTAAAAAAATAAAATATATTAACGAAATATTATATATTATTAATAAAATTTTCAAATTTAATGAATATATAGATATTTTATAATTAATATAATTAGTTTATAAAAAATAACATAAATTTAATAAATATATATGTATATATATATATATAAATATATATATTATTTTTTTAAAATAACTTTTATAATATATAAATTTTTAAGAAAAAATAATTTACATTTATAATATTAGAAATAAAACTTTTTAAATTTATTTTTTATAGTTTATAAAATGATAGTTTCATTTACATTTTAAAAAATATAAATAAAATAAATAATTATAAAAAATTTATACTATTATATACTTTAAATATATTATTATAATATTATTTTTTTTAATAAAAAATATATTAATATATATAAATTTAAATTTTTATTTTAAAAAACTTATCAATAAAAAAATATAAATTATTATAAATAATAATATAAAAATGAATCAAGATATATTTGATAATATCGATAATTTATCAGATAATGATAATAAAGATTATAAAAATTTTAAAAAATAAACTTTAAAACATCATCCCATATATACTTCTTGTAAATATTCAAAGCCAAAACCAACTAAATTTAAAGGTTTTTTTTTAAAAAAATAAAAATAAAATTAAATAAATTTCAATTAAATAGAATCTGCTGTAGTTTCAAGTTTAGCTTTATAAAAATTAATGTATTTTAATGTATATTATTCAATTCTTTATTTTTATTTAATGATGACAACTGTTTTTATTAGAGTAATATTTTTAATAATATATAAAATAAAATTCTATATAAATATACAAATATAGATAAAAATTACTAATATGGATATTACAGATATTCTTTATGTAGTTTTTATATTTGTTTGGTTATTAATTGAGTATTTTAGATTAAGTAATGGGTTTAATGGAAATATAAATGAATCTTTTCCTGAAATAGTATCTTTTTTTTTATTATGTTTCTTTAATTTTGGTTTAGTTATTGGAAAATTAGTTTTAAAATAAAAATTTCCTTTAGAACGTATAGTAATAGGTATTTAATTAACTTTTATCATTTTAGAATTTATAATATGGTAAAATAAAATATATAATTTACATAAATACTAATACTTAAAATATTATAATTTATTTAAAAAAATGAATTAAAATTAAATATTATAAAATAAAAAATAAAAAAATTCTAAAAATAATTTAAATTATTTGAAAATAGAAATACATAAATTTACAAAAATTAAATAATAAATATATAATAAATTGTAATAAATAGATAATAATTGAAATATATAATATTTATAGAAAAATTATATTAAATAAATTTATATAATTATATATATATATTAAATATATTAAAATATATTTTATATTTTATATTTAAATAGTTTTATTTCAATTAATTAAATAATAAAAGCATAATCATTAAGCAGAAAATATAAATTAAAAAAATAAAAGGTATTTATATTTAAAATATTTTTATTTTTTTTATTAATAAAATATTAATTTTAAAGGAAATTGAATTAGAAAACCTTAATTTATTTGATAATGAATATTAAAATTAAAAAAACGATGTTGATGAAGGATTAGACTAAAATTAAAATTAAATGTAAAATTATTAGATAAGTTTAAGAAATATAAAACCTGAAAAAGACTCTTCATATTAGTATTAGGAATATTAATAAAATTACGATAGATATAATTGATTTTTTTTATATAAACATAAACATAAACATAAAATATACATTAAATATACATAAATAATTAAATATATTAATTAATAATTTCAAAATTATATAATAAATTTATCATTTAAAAATATTTTTTAAATAATTAAAATATTAAATTTTTATATATATATATTTTTTTATATATATAATAAACATATAAAAAAAATATCATATTCCATATAAGTATTTTAACTTTTAAATAACAACTTTAAATTATTAAAAATTATTTTCATAAAGTTCTTAATAATAATTTTCATTAGGTTCTTACATTTTTTTTATTACAAAACACTTTCAATATCAACTTTAAATGGAACATTTTCAAAAACAATAATTGGCATTTTTTTTTTCATCTTTTTTATTTCAAATAGTTCTTTCATTTTTTGGATATATTTTTCTTTGAATTTTTCGATTACATTTTCGTTATTTTTTTAAAAATCTAAAATTTTTGATAAAATTAAAATTTCGAAAATCCTTTAAATTTATTATTTTGGAATTTTTGTTTTTTAGAAAATTTCTTATATATTACTAATCATTATCTTCTCCAATTCTTCAACCTTATTAATCTTTTTAACGCTCTATACCCAATCCCAGAAATTATTTTTTATAACAAATTCACATTATACGATATCTCGAACAATTTAGAAGTCTTAAGAAGGATCTTCGACAGTAATTTCGTTACATTTACTATCTTTTTGAGCATGTTCATACATTTATTTTAATATCTAAGAGGCATGACCTGCTCTTTAAAAAGGGGGAAGGACCATTAGTTATGAAATTCGATGCCTCGAGTTTTAAGAATCAAACATAAATTCATATTTATTACCTAATCCAACAAAAGTATAAGAATTATTTATAGTATTATACTTAAAAGTAAGAAAATAATGCCAATATTAGCTTTCTTCTACAAAAGAAGCTACTTCAATAAAAAACTTAAGAAAAACTTGAAATTTTTTTTTATAGTTTTCCAAAAAATGATGCAATTTAGAATTAAAATAAAATATTTAAAAAATTTATTCTTTTTCTTCTGAATTTGATACTTTATATTCATATATTAATTCTCCTTTAGGTTTAAAAAATTACTCTTCTTTTATTTTTTCCAAAAATTTTTTCCTATTAGTCTCAAAACCTTCCAAAAAACAAAACTCCTTTAATTTTTTTAAAAAATCTTCGCAATTTTATAATTTTTTTTCGTATTAAAATTCCACTAAAGTCTCCAAGGAACCAGCCAAAATAAAAATATTAACTTTTAAACCCTCATATCCTTCAATTTCTTCATTTTATCCATAAATCTAATGCACATATAAAGGTTTGAATTCCATTTTTTAATTTATTAATGGATTAAAATCATTTTCATAAGATATTAATTTTATATTTAATGCATCATAGGCTAAAGTGCAACCTTCTCTAGCTTTTAATTCCTCGCTATCAGATAATGAGATATTATTAACATTACTAGGATTTTAATCTTGTTGCATTTTCTTGTAAATGTCTTCAGTCATTTTCATTAATTTCTACATTCCTTCTGGACCTTAAAATTCAGATAAATCTAATTAATTATAATTCATATTTTTTTGTTTAATATATTTTTAAAAATTTCTTAATTAAGTTTTTATTTATTAGAGGTATTTTTTTTCTCTTAAAGATTATATATAAATAATAAAAAAAAATATTTAATGTTCGCGCCATTAAGAAAAAAATAAATAAATAATTAAAAAAATTGATAAATATAAATATGTATATATATATATATATATATATATATATATATATATATATACATAATATTACTTTTTTATACTTATTATATTTGTTTAGATTTAATTAAATAAAATATATATTATAAATAAAAATTATATTATTAGTATTATAATCTAGTATTATAATATATACTAATTTAATATTTTTATTAAATTTTAATTGAAAAATTATTTATTAATTTAAAATTATTTTCTTTAATTTTTAATTATATAAGATTAAAATATTTTACAATCGAATAAAAAAATTAATGTATATTATTTATAATAATATAAAATTAAATTTTTATACAATTGAATTTAATATTTATATAAATAACTAAATAAAAAATAAAATTATAAATTAAAAAGATAAATTTATTTAATAAAAAACAAGGTAACTTTTGTTTATTATTTTTATATTGAATTTCATTATTATATATATTAAATTATTAATATAAAAATTTAAAAAAATATTATAAATAATGTTAAAAAATAATTTAAATTACTAATGTTATTATCCAAATTCATATGTTAAATATATTAAAAAATATATTTGCCATTTATAGAATTTCTAAATATATAGAAATATATAAAAATATATAAATTTCTTAATATAAACATATATCAATTTATAAATCTGTAAATATTTAAATATATAAATTTTTAACAATTTGTTAATATATATAAATAATATTTTATTCATATCTCGCTACATTTCATATCACACAAAGCATCTACATATTCATTTTAATTTAAAAACTAACTGCCACCTATTATAAGTTAAAACTCATTTTAGTTTTCTACTAAATTTCTTAATGCCCTAATTTCACTATGAGAAATTCCTCCTGCTATAAAAACTATTAATTTTTACATATTATTACCTACTTCATCTTCTTCACCTTCTCCTCCTAAAAGATTAGCTAGTTTATTTTTCTATTATAGAATTTTATTAGTTTTGCCCTATGAAGAATCTTCGTTTATATTAAATGATTAAAATTAAATATTATTATTAAATTTATTTGGTATTTTAAAACTAGCAGTCTTATTAAAATCCTCAATAATTTCACTTACTAGAATTTCTAATTGAGTAGTATTCCTATTTAAATCATAAGCTTAGCTTTATAGTTTATTTTTTGCTTTTTTTATCATTTCTTTTTATATTTTTTTCGTCTATTTTTTCATATCTGCAGATTTCTAAAGATTCACTCCAAGCCAAACTAAATTATTTACTGCTTTTAAATGTTTTGTATTTATAAAATTAAATAAATCTTTCCTTTATTTTTCATTTATATTTATAGTAAGTATTAATATTAAAACTAGTCTAATTTTATCATAATCATTTAAAATGTCATTCTATATAATCTATAAAGCTTATCCATAAATAGCCTTTTCCTTTATTTTTTCCCCATTTCCATCTATTCCAGTACTTAGATTTTACTCCAATTCTCCTAAATCCTTTAAATTTTTATCTTCGAAAACTTTCCAAATATCCCCTATTAATTTCATATGCATATTATATTTTGCCAACTATTCCTAATATTAAGGCATACTTCTAATAATTTCTTACATTTTCCCAAAATCTAAATCTTCAATAACACCTCCTGCCATTTAAACTTTAGCAGTACTATTAATTTTTACAAAATCATTAAATTATTCACCAATCCCTGACATAACTTCTCCTATATGTGCAAATCTATATTTCTTAAAAAGCTCATCTTATTCATTTAATTGACTTTTTTTTAATACTTCTTTTGGCCCTTCATTAATCCAATATTCAACTATATCATTTTTAATATCCAAAACATCATAAAGTAAAGGTTAATAATGAAAATCTCTTAAAAAAGGAGTCAAAACATCAAAAGATCTATCTAGAATTAAAACTGTGATTTTACCGGATTTTCTATTTATTTATTCTGAATTTTCGCTTTGGAGCTAATTTAGTATATTTTTTAGTCTTTCGTTCATTTATTCTGCTATTGTTTACGATATTTTATTCTCGTGTATATTATAAAATATCTCTATGGAAAACATCCTTTCGAAAGAAAGTATCACTGTACTGATTTTGTCAGATATCTCCATTATTTTATTCTTATATTCCTTTCCGCTTTCTGAAAATATAGTTTTTAAGGAATCTAATACTTCTAAATTAAAAATATTGTCGAATTTACAAGCAAAATCCTAATTAAATTCTTTAAAAGTCAAAATACGATTCAATAAATATTTATTAGTGGCAATTTTAGACATTAAATTTTCCTCTATTCTATTTGTGAGGTATAAATGAACTTTCCCATATTAATTTTCTCCCTTTTTTTAAGGAAAGTCGTTTAATAATAAATCTATAGAATCTTAATATGGGGAAATAAAATATATGGCATGATGTTTGGAGTGTTTAGGTCTTTCATTGTCAATTTTTTCAACCGATATTATGTTTAATTCTAATAATTCGGTCATTTTCATTAATGAACTTATTATTTTTAATGAATTTTGGTCGGTTATTAGAATATATTGTTAAACTGTTTTATTTTATCGCATTATATCTTCGAGAGCTGTTTTTAATCTTTATTTGCAATTATCTTTTAAAGAAAATTATTATTTTTTTTCCATTCTTTTTTTTTATTATTTTATTTTATTTATTTTCTTGTATTTATATTTTTATTAATCATAACTTTATGTTTTTTTTTTGTTAAAAAAAATAAATTAATAAATAAAATAAAAATATTTAAAAAAATAAAAAAAATGAGTGATAAAGTATAAATTACATTTGATGAAGAAAATAAAATTTGCGTTTTAGAACCTGAAAAATACCGAGAAACTGATTAATTAAAAAATGAATCTATGGAATTTATAAAAAAAGTACTTAGTTTAGATGAAACAATAACTTAAATTACAGAAACATTAGAAAACTATGCAAAAAAAATCGAATAATAAAAACTAAGGGCTATAGGTGAAAGAAATAAAGTAGAAACTGAATCTGAAAACAGAAAAAAAAAAATTATGGAATTAAATAATTTACTTAATGAAAAAAAAGCAGAATTAGAAAGATATTCAACTGAATTTGAGTCTATTTAAAAAGTAGAAAGCGAATAAAAACATTTAATTGAAAAATTATCAAATAATGAAGCTTGATATTATTGTTTTTATATTTTTATTTTTAAATAATTATAAAATTTAATCTTATATATGGATACTTAGTTTTTTTATTTATTGTTGTATTCTTTATTATTATTATATTATTTTATCTTCAAATTTTTATATTTTATTATTTTTTAAAAGGAGTTATATATAAAAAATTAAAAAATAATTTATTTTACTAATTTAAAAAAATTTCAAATTTATATATCATTTTTAATATATTTAATTTTTCTATATAATATATTTTTTATTTTTTTTAATATTTTTATTTATTAAAGTTTTTTATTAAATTTTTATATTATATTTAATATATTATTTTATTTTATATTATATTTATATTTATATTTATTAAATTGAAATAAAAATTGATTTCTTTTATATATAAAATATATATTGTATTTTTTTATTTATATATCCATAATTAGAAAATATATTTTTTTTTAATAAAAAATAATTATTAGATATTTAATAAGAAGAAAAATTAATTTATTACATATTAAAGTCATTAAATAAATTAAAGCTATAATTTTTAATATTTTATTTTTTAAAAAATTAGAAAATTAAATATGATTTAAAATATGTCAATATAAATAATTTAAGTTTAAATTAACTTAGGATAAATATTTATAAAATTGTGAAAAATAAAAATATAATATAAGTATTTTTATCAAAATATATCTATTATATATATTAATTTATTTTTAAAAATAAAAGATAAATATATTAATTTTAAAAAGATAAATTTATATAAAAAAATCAATTAAAGTTAAATAAAAAAAATATTTATTATAGCAATGTTTTATAGTAAATTTGATTAACCAACATAAAAAGAATCAAAAAAAATAAAATATATATATATATATAAAAAAAATATATATAATAAATATATATATTATACTTATATTTTTATTTTTATTTTATTTTATATAATATTTAAAATATATATTTTTTTTTGATTTAAATCGATATATTAATTTATTTTTCTTTTCTAATCTATATTTCTTAACTTTAATTAATTTAATTCTTATAAAAATAAAAACAAATTTATACATAATATATTTTTTTTTAGAATGATATTTTTACTTAAATATCAATTAAATTATAATGTACATCATAATAATTTAAATTTCAATAATATTTATATTTTTAAAATATTTGTTAAATTAATATTTTTATAAAGAAGTTCATATCTTTTTTTAGCTAACTAATAGTCAAAAATTAATATTTTTTTATATTATTTATACTGTATAAATATTGTATATTTATTTTATTTTATAATTTTTAGATATTATATATAATCTTTTTTAATTTATTTGCAAATAATATTATAAATTTTTAATTATTAAATTAATTATTTAATATAAATATTTTTATTTTTATAAAATTATAATTAATTATTATTATCACATTTATTAATGACAACGGGTAATAAAATATATATTAGGATAAAAATATATATTGTAAACTGGTAAATATATATATTAGGATAAAAATATATATTGTGAACTGGTAATAATATATATTAGAATTAAACTATATATTGAGATAAATATATTTAATAATAAATTTATCCTTTAAAATACTTATTATAATATCAATATTATAATTAAAACATTATAAATATCATTCGAAAATTATTTTTTTTATTAAAAAAAAATAATATATATATATATATATATTTATTAAAAAAAAATAAAAATAAAATATAATATAATATATATCTTAGATATTATTAATTATATTTATTTATATAAAATAATTATTATACATACGTAAAAATTTAATTTATAACCCATATATTTATTTTCTTTTATTTAATTTAAAAAAGAATTTTTTTATAATAATAAAATATTAAATATAATATAAATAATTAATATAATAAATATAAAATATATTTTATTTCATATTTTAAATAAATTTAAAAATAATTATATATTTACATATTTAAAATGAGTGTCTTCTAAAATGCATTAATGTTTTCAATCCTTTCCTATGGATTTTTATATGATTTTAGATTTATAATGCTTTTCTTTGGCTTTTTAGGTTTCAATATGCTTATTTATTACATTATTCCTGGTGGAAAATGTAATAATATTCGAAGAAAAATCCAAATAGCTACATGGGAAGAACCTAAAGAAGGTTTAATACACATAAAAATGGAAATTGATTGCACAAAAGTATTAGATTTTTTAAGTAATTATAAACCAGATGAGGTGAAACCTACTTTAACTCATTTTGGTATAAAAGCCGTTTCTAATATTCTAGATTAGTCCAGACTAATAATAAATGGAAAATTAATGTTTGGAAAATTTGTTCCATTTGAAACTGTAGATGTTACATGCTTAATCGATATAGATAATGGAAATGTAAATATATAAAAAAAATATTAAATTTTATATATGAATAGGATTTAGGAGCAATAACAATAAGAAAATGCGACGAATTAAGTGTACTTGAATTAGCTAAATATGTAAAATAAAAAAGTGAAAAAATAAAGAAATCTAAAGGAGATAATATACATAAAAAAAGAAATAATTCCTTGTAATATTTTCCTCCTTTTATTGTGAGTGTTATTTTATAATTAACTAAATGGTTTTCTTATTATTTCGGTTTAAATTTACCTTTCTTAGGTATTAATAAAAATAATTTCGGGGGAGCAATTGTTACTTCTATAGGTATGTTAGGCATTGTAGATGCTGTCGCACCCCATTGTAATTTTATGAATTGTCCTGCATTACTTGTCTTGAATAAAGTTATTGATAAACCTATTGTTAGAAAAGGGTAGATTGTTATTGCGAAGGTTATGAATTGTAATTTTACTGTAGACCATAGATTTATTGACGGAGGTAAGGCTAGATATATAAAAACCGCATTTATTGATGTTTTTGAAAATCCTGAAAAATTCTTTGATAATCCTTCTCCTTTGTAAAGTGAATAAAAATCTAAATGAGAATAAAAAATTATTTTTATATAATTTATTTTTATTTATTATTATAAAATAAATTAATAAATAATATATATAAAAAAAATAAAAATTATATACAAAAGACTTATTAAAAATAATTTAAAATTCATATAAAATTGTTATTTATATATGTTGTCTGTATATATGTTTTATTTACTTTACTTTACTTTACTTTACTTTTATTTTAATTTTATTTTAAATTTTATAGACTAAAAGAGTTTGATAGTTTTTTTTATAAAAAAATAAATATTCCAGATTATAAAGATTATAAATTAATATAGATAAAAATAAATATATATATATATATAATGATTAAGTACTTATTAAAAAATATTAATTTTTATTAAATATTTAAACTATTCATATTTTATTTATATTTATTTAATAAAAAAAATATTATAATTAATTTTATTCTTTTTATTTTACTTAATAAAAAAATTAAAATATCTATCGAAATTCATTTTTAATTTAATATTTATTATAAAAGCTTTAATTATTAATTATCAATTATTATATTCATGTAATAAAAAATAATATATAATATATAAAAAATACAATAAAAAATATTTGTAATAATTAAATATAATTATTACAAATATTATAACGATTAAAAATATATATATTAATATTTTTATATATGCTTTATAAATAAAAAACATTACACAGAAAGTAAAATAAAAAATTATATAAATGAAAAAAATAAAAAATGATTTTTAAATTAAATATAAGCTCTAACTAATAAGATAAATATGTTTTTATTTTTTTTTAAATAAATTTTTTCCTTTATTTAATAATAATTTTTTTTTTATTTCCTTTTATCCAATAAAAATATAAGAAAATCAGTCTTTTTTATTTTAATTTTAATTTTTTTTAATCTATTCTTCTTTTTTCTTACACAAATTTAAAGCATCTTAAATATTTATACTATTTTCTTTATTCAAAGCTTTATAATAATTTACTTCTTCCAATATAAAAGCTCTTAACTATTCCGATGTAATACTTTAATCGGATTCAAAATCAAAGTTAATATTTCCTTCAAACTTCGGCTCATCTATTTCATCATGTAAAGACTCTAAATAAGGATGTGCTAAAGCTTCTTCTGCTGTAAGTCTTTTTGAAGGATTAATTTCCAGCATTTTATCTAATAAGTCAAGTGCAAGAGGATTCTCATACTTAATAAATGATTTCACGGATACCCTAGGATTTTTTTAAAGGCTTTCTACATATTATTTAGCATTCTAATTTCCAATAAAAGATAAATCCTCATCTGAAGGCATTCCAAGTTTTTCAAAAATAAGTTTTATTTATTTAATATAATTATCAGCTTTAAAAAGAATTTAATGAGTAATTAATTCCGCAAAAGTGCATCCTAAAGACCACATATCAATTGCTTTTGAATAAAGATGTGAACTAAGCATAATTTCAGGAGCTCTATAATATCTAGTCACTACATATTCCGTCAATTAACCTAACTATAAGATAAAAATATATATATATATATATATATATATATATAAATATATATATACATTTATATATATAAATTTATATATAATTATTAATTATTTTTTACAAGTTATTATTCTTCTTATTCTTCGTCTTCTATTTTTCTTGATAAACCAAAATCACACATTGAAATATCGCATTTTTCAGTTGCTAAAAGATTTGAAGGTTTAATGTCTCTATGTATAATATTTGCCGAGTGAATGTATTTTAAGCCTTTCAAAATTTAATATATTATATATTGAACATGCTAATCAGTTAAAGGTTGGTTAGATTTTATTACTTGATAAAGATCTATTTCCATATAATTTGTTACTAAATATATTGTTCCGAATTCTTATTCTTCGTCATGATCATCATAGAGAATATTTTAAAGCTATAGAATATTCTCGTGTAATAAATTACGCAAAATTCGAATTTCTCTCAATACTCTTTTTGCATCAACAATATCTTCAATTTTATGGAGCTTCTTTATAGCTACGTTCTTATTAGTTTACTTATCTTTTGCCATAACAACTTAACCATATGCACCACAGCCTAAGAGTTTATTTGATTCATATCTTTCACCTGTTCTGAAAAGAGAACCATTTATTGAATATGATTTTGTGTTATCCATTTATTTATTAAATTGTTTCTTTATTATTTATAAATATATATATAAATATATATATAAATTTATATATAAATATATATATATTTTGTATATATATATTTATTTATATGTTTTTTTTTTAATTTAATTTAATTTTTATTTTATTTTAATTTTTTTTAATTTTTTTATTTTTTCTTTATTTTTTTTTAATATTTTTTATATATATATAAAGAGTTTTATGTTTTTATAAGTATTTATTTTTTATATAAAAAAAAAATATTAATATTTTTATTTGTAATATATAATATGAAATTTTTTCTTAAATATAAATTAATTAAATAAAATAAGAATCTGATATTAAAAAGCAGCATATTTAATAAATTTATTAAATTTTATTAAAAAAAAAATATTTAATAAAAATTTTAATTATTTTAAAAAAATTATATACAAATTTTATTTTATTTATAAATATATTATATTTAAAAAATATAGACAATAAATATTATATTTTATTTTAAATAAAAATAAAATGTAAATAAAAAATATTATTTTTTAAATATTTAATATTATAAAAATGTTTTATTATATATATATAATATTTATATGAAATTTTTATTTATATATTTTATTTAATAGTATAAAATATTTTATTATTTATAAAATTATAATTTTTTTTTATATAATCAAAATTAGTATTTTAAATATTTTTTTTTTATATTTATATTTATATTATGATCTATAATATTAATTATTTGATATTAATTTATTTATAATTATTTTAGTTTTTATATAAATATTTATATTTATATTTATATATATATTTATATATTTATATTTATATTTATATTTTTTTTTATTTTTTTTTATTTTTATTTATATTATATCTCTATTTATATTTTTATTCTCTACATTTTAATTTGGCTATTATAATTTAAAATATTTATATTTGTATTCTTTATATTATAATAATAATACTACAACATCAATTTTAAGTATATTTTCTTAAAAAATAAATAATAGTATTTATATAGAGAAAGCTAAATTTATTATATATAAAAATTTTTTTCATTTTTACTTTTTAAAAAATAAATATAAATATTTTAAAAATACAAAAAAAATAAAAATTTCTAATATAAATTTTAATGAACTATTTTATAAATTTTGATTCAGAAATCGAATAAAGAATAAATGAATGGCTTTCTTAATAAAAAATACTATAAGTCGATCCTAAAGAAAATGCATAAAAATACTACTCTTAAAAAGTAAAAGACATATTTATTAGAAAAAGCTTTTCATCTGATAAATTTAATAATTTAAAATTAAATTCCAATAATGTAAATTAATAATAAGAAATATTATCTGCTTACTTAATACCAATTAATTAATAATATAATTAAAGTAAATTGTATTTAAGAAGAAATAAATCTAAAAATCTTTGCTGAAAAACATTGTATGTTTTCAAAATACTTAATTAAAAAAAATTAATATATACTTTTATATACATAAATATAATATAATTTTTTGTCTTAATTTAATATAAGTTATTACTTTTAATTTTATTCTTAATATAATATATTCTTTATTTTATTTTTATTTTTGATTAATTGATAAAAAAAATATTAATAAGAATTAATTTTTTATATAAATAATATATAATATATTTTTTTTTCTATTTTAGATTAAAATTAATCTAAATAATTATTTAACATCAAAAATAAATATATAATTTTTGATTAATGAAAAAATATAATAAAAAATTTTTATACAATTTAATTTTTTGTTTAATTAAATATAAAATAAATAATTAATGTTAATAAATATATTTTATATATAATATAAATAAATAATGTTAATTAATATATTTTATAAGATTTTAATAATTGTATATGTTATTTTTAATATATATTAGATAAAAAATATATTATTTGAATTCAAATTAATTAAATAAAAATAATTTAAATAATTAAAGATAGCTAAATTAAAAATAAACATTATATTAATAATACAAAATGTTAATTTGAATAAATATATTATATATATATAATATATACATATATATATATATATATTTATATAAAATGAAAATAGAAAATTTAAGTATTAACTTGTAATTATATATAAAATTATTTTAATTTTTTTCAAAATTTTTGTTAAAATCTTTTTATATAAATTAATATAATAATCAATAATTTAAATAGCCTTTTTAGTTATCTTAAAAGTATTTTTTTTCTCTATTTTGAAAATTATTAAATATAAGAATATTTTAATTTATTTTTGAATTATTTTATGGTTAAAAGTTTCCTAATAAAAATATATTTATATATTTATTTATAAAAATATTACTTTCTGTAATGGATTAATTAATTTTCTTTTAAAATTTTTTTTTTTCTTTAATATTTATATTTTAACCAGAAATATTGTTTTCTTTTCCAATATTTTATTTTTATTACTAAGGAAGAGGAGGAGTTTTATTATTTATATTATCATTACTATTATTTATTAAATTATTATATTTTGTTTTATTTTCGAAATTATTATTTTCCTCAAACTATACCCTTACACTATTATTTTGAGACAAGTTTTTTTCTTTATTAAAATAATTTTTTTATTTATTATTAAAGCATGGAGTTTATCCATCTTTTTCCTTATCAATAGAAATACTATGTTATTTTGTTTTATTTTAAGATATTTCTAATTCCTAATTTACCTTATGATGTTCTTAAATAATAGACGTGGACATAATATGACTTGAATTTTTATTTTTTTAATTTAAAATTGTAGAAGAAAAATTTAAATTATTTTATTCAATTTAATTATTTTTAATAGACCAAATATCTGAAACTTTATTTATTTATTATTCATAAAAAAATATTTCATTATAATTACTTAATGTTTATACTATTAATAATAAATTAGATAAGAAAATTTAACTATTATTTTAGTATTATTCATTAATATTAAAAGATAATTATTATTAATATTTTTGCATTTTTACTTTTTTCAATTCTTTTTTATTTTTAATTAAAATTATATAAAATTTTTACCATTTATAGTAAATATATTTTCTGTTTCTTTTATTTTATTTAATAATTAATTTAAACTATCTAAATAACCATTTTATTCTAATCTTTATAATATCGCTGATATATTTTGATATTTGTTTATTTCATTTTATAATCTATTTTTGTAAATACTATTAGAAAAATTCTTTTTTTAAAAAAAATAAATAAATATCATAAGATAAGTAATTTTGATTCTTTTTAAACTAAAAATTTTAGTTTTAAATTACCATTTTTTATTTCGTTATTTATTTAATTTTTTTTAAAAAAATTTTAGGAATTATATTTAAAATATAAATATTTGTTTAAAAAAGTAAAACAAAACAAAACAAAATTTAAAATAATAATTTAAATGTATTAGTAATTGTTTTTTTTTAAAAATAAAGATATATTTATTCAAAATAAAAAAATGTATAAATACATATATATATATATAATAAAAAAAACAAATTAAAAAAATAATATATTATTATACAAAAAAGAAAAAATTAACAAAAAAAAAATAAGAGTAATCATTATGCATATAATACCTATTTACTTCTCGGTACCATTTCAAGTACAGTTCCTGGTTTAGTTTAACTAGCAGGATGTTAATCCAATTCTTATGGTACATCATAATTATTTTTAATTAAAAATTCTTTCAAATCATAAAAGATAATTTCATTATTATTGGTTAAAAATGTATAAGCAATACCTCTTTTACCTGCTCTGCCTGTTCTTCCAGTTCTATGAACAAAATCTTTTATATTTTTCGGCGCATCGAAATTAATAACCATTTTTACACCATCGACATGTAAACCTCTACTACCTAAATCTGTAGCTACTAAAATATCATATTTACCTTTCTTAAAGCCATCTACAGCAGCTTCTCTTTATTATTATGTTCTTCCTCCATGATAAATAACACTATTCCACTAAAAAATATATATATATATATATATATATATATATATATATATATATATATATATATATATATATATATATATATATATTTATTTTTATATTATTTTTTATATATTTAAATATATATATATATTTACTCCCCATTTTTCTAGTATTTTTTATAATTTTTCAACTGCATTTTTTTCATTAGCAAAAATAATAATAGGTGGTTTTTAATCTTTAAGTATATTCTAAAGCCTAGATTTTTTTTACCCTTCAGCAATAAATTCCACAATCTACTCTATATCTTTTTTCCCTCCACCCGGTTCTCCAATACTAATATAGCAAAAAGACCTTAAATATTTTTTGGCCAATTTTTCTATTTCAGGTGGCATTGTAGCAGAGAATAAATGAGTAACTCTATATATTTTTTCTCCTGCTTTTGCCTCTTTTTCCTATAAATCAGCCATTAATTCATCTTCACTTTTCATATGTGATTTTATTCGGTCTAAAATAAAATTCACGTCAGCCTCGAAACCCATATCTATCATTTTATCAGCCTCATCTAAAACTACCCATGAAACTTAGTCTAAAACTAAATAATTCTTTTATAAAGCATCTTTTATTCTACCTGTAGTACCAATTAATAACTCACATCCTACTTTTAATTTATAGGCTTGATTCCCTTCGTCTCTACCTCCTACCATTACTAAACTTTTCAACCTCATATTCGTAGTTAGATTCTAAAATTCCTTCTCTATTTAAGGTGCAAGTTCTCTTGTAGGAATCAAAATAAGCGCATATGGACCATCTTTAGCTACCTCTTCATCCATAGGGGGTAATGATCTTAGATAGACAATCAAAGGGATTAAAAATGCGCAACTTTTACCTGAGCCAGTAGGTGATATACCAATTAAATCTTTCCTAAGCATCCCTATTGGGATTGTTTGCATTTAAATAGGCGTAGGCTTCTCATATTTCAATCTCCTAATGGAGTCCAATATATAAGGAGGCAAATCCCCTTCTTCCCATCTCCTGATAGGTCTAGGAACCTTTCCTCCTTTGATAATAATATCATTATCTTCTCTAAAAATCCTCCAATCTCTCTCTGTCATTTCCATTGTCTGCTTCAAACTCCAGTGATCTTTCAAAGAAATATCATATATGCTCTTTTTGATAATTTTTTCATCTTTGCTTTTCTTTTTTTAATATTCAGGATCATATTTATGTATTAAATCTTCATATTTGACTTTATTTTCTAATTATTCCTTTACGTCATATCCGGCTAAAATTCCCCTGCCAAATAATAAATTAGTCTCCATTCGATTTTTATATAGGGGATTATAATCCACTGATGTATCATCTCTGGAATCCCATTTAAAATTAAAAATATTCTTGAATTTTTCAGATGGTTTTAGTATTTTTTTCTTCTATTTATTTAAACCTAAATACTAGATTTTTATATTCTAAGTTTCAGGATCTTCATTAGAATTTAAAATTGCGATTTTCTCAATTGCCCGAGTATTTGATGTCATATATTTAGAGTCTTTATCTTTACTTTTCGATCTAGATCGGGACCTTGATTTACTCTTCTTTTCCTTTAATCTTCGCTAAAGTTCTTCTTTTTCGTCTTATTCACGCTTTTTTCGGCGCTCTTCCCGTTCTTGTTCACGTTTCCAGTCTTTATAACGGAAAGATTCGTATTCTTCCCTTATTTTTTGTTCTTGTTTTTGTTTTTCTTATTCTTGTTTTAAGTTTTGTTGCTTTTCTTAATCTTTTAAACGTTCACGTTCTTGCTTGCTTAAATATTTTAGTTTTTTTTAATTGCTTGGGATGGTTGTTTGGGATTATATTTATTATTATTATGGGTTTTCAAAGGTTTTTTATTATAATAATAATGAATTTATATTGGAATTTTTGAGGGATTTGCTAGATATTTGATTGTCTTTTTTTAATGGCGATTTGTATGCTTTTATTTCGCTGTTAATTTAATGTGTTGAGTCGGAAAAATATTCTTCTTCAATCATTTTTTTTTATATAAAAAAAAAAAATTATGTCTATCTTTATATTTTATTTTAAATATATTATTTTATATAAATAAAAATAATATATTAAATAACTTTTATTTTTATTCAATTTTTTTTGTTTTTTTGTAATTTTTATAGATTTCTCATTATTAAATGTTTTTTTTAAAAAAATATATTATTCCATCATATCTTTATTAAGTTTTAAATGATATACAAATAATATTATATATGCAATTTTAATTAAGAATTTTTATTATGTCAATATATTACTCATCATATATTTATTAAGTTTTAAATAATAAAAACAATATTTTATATTGCAATTAAATTTAATTAATATAATTATAATTTATTAAAAAATTATATTGATATAATAAATAAATAATTAAAGATAAAAATAAAAAAAATTAAATAAATTATAGAAGATATATAAATAAAATATAATTATAAATTTTATAAAAAATACATGTATAAAAGATATATAAATAAAAAATAATATAGAAAAATATATATATAATAAAAAATGATAATTTTATAAATAAAGAATATATATTTAGTAAAAATAGCGAAAACAATATTTATTTATATAGGTAAATAAAAAATTATACAACATATTATATATAAATCATATAATGAAATAAATAATAAAAATATAAATATTTATTAAAAATATTATTTAATTATGATTTATTATTATTTATAAAAGTATTGAAAAATATTTATTGTCTAAATATATATTTTTTTTTAAAAAAAAAATTATATATAATAAATAAATATTAATATTATATATATTATATATATATATATATATATATAAAATATATATATAAATATATACTTATAAAATATTTTATATTATTATCTATTTCTTTTTTTATATATCTGTTCTATACAAAATTATTTTAAATTATATTTTTCTACCTATTTATAAAGGAAAAAAAATTTTTAAGAAGTAAAATTTAATAAATAAATAAAAATTTTAATATAAAACATATTTAATAGTTAAAAAATATATTATAATAAAATGCTTAAACTATTTATAATATTTTTCATATTAACCACTTTTATTCCTTAAATTAAATCCCAAAAATATGTAATTGGTGTATATGCTCAACCATCTGGTTTTTAAGACTATCCATCTTAAAGTTACTAATATATATTAGCTTCATGCTATTAATGGATAAAATATACTGGTGCTGATGTTTTTATTATTCCTTTTGATGAAAATTAAGAATATTACGATAACTTGCTTTAAAATATAAACGGTGTATTTTTCACTGGAGGTGGTTTGGATATACAAAAAGATGATATTTGGTCATAAAATGCTAGTTATATAATCAATTTAGGACTCAGAATGAATTAATAAGGTTAGTATTTTCCTATATGGAGTAATTGTTAGGGATTTGTAATTATTAATATATGTACTAAGTGGTTATGACAAGAATATTTTATAAAAAAACTTATAAAATGATATTAATACGAATAGAAACATAGAATTTAAATAACTTTAAGAAGATAAACTTTTTAGCAATTTAAATTAAGAATTAATAGAATATTCTTAAGAAAAAACACCATTTTATTCTTATCATGAGATATATATAAAAATGGAAGACTTTAAAAAAAATAATGAATTAAATAGCATTTTCGATATAATAGGAATTTCTCAAAATGGAAATAAAAATGAAGAAAAATTAAAAAATAATAGCTTATTATATAAAATTTTAAACATGATAGGATTTTATAAAAAGGAAGAACAAACATAATATATAGCATCAATTGAAGGAAAAAATTTACCTTTTATTGGATTATAATTTCATCCTGAATATGTAGATTATGAAGAAAATTTAAATGTTAATAAAGAAAAAGAAAGTATAACTATTAGTTAATTATTAGCTAAATATTTTGGAAAATTAGCTAAAAAAAATTAAGAATAAATGAAAAAAAATATTACTAATTTATAATTGAAAGAATGTAGTAATTCTGAAGTTTAAAATAGTATATTTAAAAAGCTTGCTTTATTGAAAGAAAAAGCAGTTGATTATTTTTTATTATAACAAAAAAATATATATATAAAAATAAAAAATTATATAAAATTTATAAAATTTTTATAAATTATAAAAAATATAAAGAAAATATTTAAAAAATATAATAAATATTAATAAAATATAATTAAATATATAAATATATATATATATATATATATATATATATATATTTAAAACATTAATCAAATAATATTAAATAATAAATTAATGATATCATTTATAGCATAAAAAAAGGCATTTTTACATTCATTAAAATTTATAAATGACGACTGTATTGGTAACAAACAATATCAAATCAATATATTAAAATAAAAAAGGAATATTTACAGGAAAAATAAAAGGGGGATAAATTATAATTGAAGATTCATTTCCTTTATCTCATTCAAGGATCTTAGCTCCAACATTAGAAACTGCTTTAATGTTAATTGAAAATATAGTTTAAGAAAAAGGGTAAATAATAGTAGGTTTATATGAGGCATTAGTCAATTTTCATAATCGAAAATTTTCCGAAATAGGAGTAAAAATTTTAGAAAAAATTGAAAAAAATCTACAAATGATGCCTATTGGACTTACTATTTATTTAGCAGATAAAATTGAAGATTAAGAAGAAACAAAATAGCCTTATCTTTCTTCTGAAGTATACATAAATATATATATTATCTTTAATATTTTTAAAATTAGGGTTTTAGATTTTTTAATAGATCAAATTAAGAACCTGGATATGATAATATATAAGAACTTGATATAGTTTAAGGATATTAAGCATTTAAAAAATTAGAAAATGATATAAGTTCTGGAAAACATCATTTTATAGTTGATTTTGATATGCATTTTGAAGATATTTCACTTGATTTTACAAATTAAGATTTAAATAATTGAAACATTATTATATTTTAGATATATATTGTATCTTTTTTATATATATATAAAATAAAACTTTTACATTAATATAAAAATTAATTTATTTATAAATTCATTTAATAACAAAAATATATATTTTTAATAATTAATAGATAATAGAATATATTTTTATTTAATTATTTTTTATAAAATGAAAAATTTTCATGCCTTTGTTTTTTTTACAGATAAATTTATTTGTAATCTTAATTTAATAATTTTTTTTAGATTTTAATAATTAATAAATTTAAGTTATTTAAATGTTAAAATCTTAATAATTGTATTGGTTTAGCTTATGAGATTAAAATATGAATACTATAATATATTTACCTATTTTTAATAATCTTATTTTATAAATTAATTTCTTAGAAATATTTAAAAATACAATGTGAATAAAGGTGTTATTTTGATATACTTATTTTATATTTTATATATAAGATATTTAATTATTATTTTGATTTTTTATTTATATTTATGTGCATTACTTGTGTCTTTTTATTGGATTTAAATCATTTTTATAAATTTCAGTTTTTATCTCCTAATCTTATCTTAAATGACAATATTTAAATTTTGTAATATAATTAATAAGTATTTTTTTAAAAAAACGTAATTCAATTATTATTTTTATATTGAGAAATTCAACAATTTATTTTCATATTTCTTATTAATAATGCATTGAAAATTTGTAAAATATTATTGTTAAATGCCTTATTTGTATCTATAACAACAAAAGGGGAATTTTGGAAAGATATATGGAATTTTATTCTAAAATTTTAGATGATTATTAAAAAATATTTTCAAATAAAATATCTAAGGACTTTCAATCACTGAATATAATAATTAGAACGATAAATTTTACAAAAAGGTTAAAATTTGACTATTATTTCACATTGAGAAAGTAATTAATTACATATTCATACTATTGATATGTAGATATAAGATAATTTCTCTATAGTTATTATAATATTATTAAATTTAAAAATATAGAATAAATAAAAAATGATAAAAATATGTTGAATATACTATAAATAATTATAACTATATATTATTGTCTTTATAGATTATTTGAAATTATTAAATGTTATATAATCATAATTATATTAACAATTAACTAGAATAAATCAAAGAAATAAAATTCGGGGTATTTTTTGTTTGCGTATTTTCTTGTTTTTACTTTATTTCTGGGCTCCCTATTTAATTAAATTAAAAAAGAATTAAAACGCTAAAAATATATGTTTATTATTATTTTAATGAATATTATATTTAAAGATAAAAGATAAAATAAATTTTTTATAATTAGTTAAAAATTAAATATATATTAAATATTAAATTAAATAATATATATAAATTATTATTATTTTTTTATATTTATTTATTATATATTACATACTATATATTTTTTAGTTTTATATATATACATATATTATTATTCTTTTATTAATTTGAAAAATAAAAAAGAGTTTTATATTTTAATATATAGTTTTTTTTTTTTTTTTTTTGAGAGATACATTATAAAATAAAAATCAAAAACATTTAAACAGGAAAAATAAAAATAAAATATTTAAATATATTTTTATTTTAATATCTAATTCTTTGATTTTTAGAATTTTTTTTTTCTTTTTATAAAACAATATATATATAAAACATTAAATATTTTTTTTCAATAAATATATTTAAATAAATTTTTTGATACAAATAATAAATTAATATTTTACTTTTAAATGATCAAATATTAAATATATTTCATATTTAAGTTTGAAATGTTATATATTTTTAAAATAATTGTTCTATATTTTTAGTAAATGCATATATAAAAAATAAAATATTTTTATTACATTCAAAATTATAATTATTATTTTTTAATTTAAAAATATAATCAATTTTTTTCAATTTAAAAAATAAATAAAAATATATAAATAATATAATATTAAAAGCAAGGAAATATAATAAGACACATATATTTATATTTAAAAAATAAATCTTGACTAAAATAAAAATTACATAAAAGAATTAATAAAAAAAAAATTATAATAATTATAAAAAAAAAAAAATTAATTAAAAAAAATCAAACAAGGGAAAAAAAAATAACTTTTACACTCTTAAATAAAAAAAATGTCATCATACCCATTAACAAAACTTTATATAGCTAAATTCTCTAGCAAAACCACTCGCCGTGATATCGAAGACCTATTCAGTAAATACGGAGACCTATACGGCTGCAAATTAAACGAGCGTGAAGGCTATGCTACAGTAACATACAAGTATCCCGAAAATGCCGATAAGGCAATCTAGAAATTAAATAACACTGAAATTCTTGGTGGAAATCTTTTAGTAGAACACACATTAAAAAAAGGAAGAACAAATGACGGAAATGGTTCTTCATATAATAAATACGACGATAAATATAGAGATAGAGGTGATAGAGGTGATAGAGGTGATAGAGGTGATAGAGGAGATAGAGGAGATAGAGGAGATAGAGGAGATAGAGGAGATAGAGATAGAGGAGATAGAGGAGATAGAGGTGATAGAGGCGATAGAGATTATAGAGATTATAGAAGCAGTCGATATGAAAGAGATAGAGATTATGGCAATTCTAGAAGAGATTAACCTTTTAGATTTGATAAGGAAAAATTCATTAAAGGAGGACTTTGTTTCAATTGTAGTGAAAAAGGACATATAGCTAGAGATTGTCCAGATGCTAAATAAGGAATTTATAGAGGAAAAAGTAAAATCATTTTATAATATATTTTGTTAATAATAATAAAAAAATTTTATAAAAAGCATATAATGGTGACAGATATAGAAGAGGAAGCTATACAAGAAGGAGTAGAAGTGGAGAAAGAAAATATAAAAGGTCTAGTAGTAAAGATAGTAGAGATAAAAAGAGAAGAAATAAAACATCGAAAAGAAGTAGATCATCTTCTTATTCTAAAAGCAGAAGCGATTCGAATAGAAAAGATAGATAAAGATCAAGAAAGGCTAAAAGTAGAATATCTTCTTCTTCTTCAAGCTCGAAGAGTAAATCAGGGTCTAAATCTAATTCTAGAAGTGTATCTAGAAGTGTTGAGAAAAATAATGAAACTAATAATAATAATACTAATAATAATAACAATAATAGTAATAATAATAGAAATGAAAATAAATAAGATAATGAAAATAACTAGAAGAGTAAATCTGTTTCAAGTGAAGGAAGATAATGATTTTATTAAATTTTATTTTATTTAACAAAAAATAATATTTTAGATTTGAAATAAATGTAATTTTTTTTTTTTTTCTTTAATTTTTATTTTCTTTTCTTATGATATATTTATTATATATATATAAAATTATTATTATTTTTTTATATATTTTTTTTTTATTTTTATTTTTTTTTTTTTTACTAAAAAATAAATAAATTCTTTTTATAAAAAAAATAAAATATATATATTATTTTTATAGCTTTTAATAAATAATTATTAATTATAAATAATTAATTTGAAAAATTGTTTATTTTGTTGATTTTTTGTTTACGTTATTGTTTATATGAAAAAAATAAATATGGTTGTTTGTGAATTTTTGTGGTTGTTTGTGGTTTGTTCATATGAAAACTTATGATTATTAAATGTAAATATTTATGCTTCTTTATATGAATATTTGTGCATCTTTATATGAATATTTGTGCTTCTTTATATGAATATTTATGCTTCTTTATATGAAAATTTGCGGTTATTCGAAAAAAAATTAAAAAAAGTGATTCCTTTATTATTGTTGTTTTTTTTGAAATCCTTTTATGACGAAACGAAAGTTTTTGAATATTATGTTGTTTTTTGTTTGTCGGTTTTTGAAATTTGCTTCTATAATTGACGTTTTTATGGATGTCCTTTTTGCAAATTTTTAGTGTTTTTCTTTTGAATAAATCATTTGTATTTTTGTGTGTGGTTTTTTGGGGTTTTTTACGGACAACCTTATGAAATAAATAAAATAAATAAATAATTAATAAAATAATTAAAATTAAAAATTAAATTTATTAATGAAATATTAAAAAAAAAATATTCTTAGAAATTAAAATTGAACAAAGTTAATTAAGATTATATTATGTAATTACTCAGACACATTATTATAAATAAAAAAAGATAATAAAATAAAAGAAAAACATAAAATGTAAAAATAATATAAATTATATAATTTTTTTTTATTAAAAAAAAAAGAATATATATATATATGTAAATATATATAAAAATATAAATATATATATATATATATATATATATATATTTAATTTCAATCCTTTTTAAATTATAATTATATAATTTAATTATAATATTTTTATCAATCATTTTTATTGATATTATTTATTTATAATTTTATAATTTTTTTTATTTATTTTATATGAAATTTTATCAAAAAAATTTTATAAAATTGTATTTTAGTATGATGTTTATAAATTAAAAATTTATTTTTTAAAAATATAATAAATGGATTAAAAATCAAAAAATAATAAGAAAAAAAAAATATATATATAAAATTTATATATTAATTAATAAAATTATAAATGAAATATTAATATAAATTTATAATTATATTATTATTTTTTATTATTAAAAATAATTTTTAATATTAATAAAAATTAAAAAAAATATATAAATAAAAAGATTTTAAAATATATAAAAAAAAAAAACTATTATTCTCTAAACTATTTTAGTTTAATAAATTTAAATATATATATATATATATATATATATATATATATTTATATAAATTATTCATCTATAATCTGTTTTTTATTTTCTTTTTCCAGAAAATAAATGTTTTGGAGTTTTAATAATTACACTTCTATCTGCTTCTCCTGCTCTTCCATTCCATTATTTGTCTATTTTATGTTTTAACCTTTACATAGCCTATTTTTGTATATTTTTTAACATATTCATTTTTATTATAAATTAATTAAATACCTTTTCTTCTGTAGTATTTATAGGATTAGGGTCTACTCCTTTAGATCTAGATCTAGAAAGACTTTTTTTTTTATTTTTTACACTTTTTACTAATTTATTATGATCATTTTCATCTTACATTAAATCTTCATCATTGTCTTCATTGATCATTTAATCTGTTAGTCTTCTAGCTTTTCTTTTTTTATTAACTCTTTCTTCAACATTTTTACTATTAATTCCTTTTTAGGACAATTTTTACTTTAAATTTTCGAGTGTATTATTTTTTTATAGATGAGCAGTTTTATGTCTATTTAATTTATGTTATAACTTCAATATAGTTTTTTTAGATACTATTTATTTATGAGCATCTAAAACTTCATCATCAATATTTTCCTCTTCATCATTAATTTCCTCATTTAAAAGTCTTGCTTATTCCAACATATTTTCTTCCTTTTCTAACTCCTCAAGTTTTTCTAGTATATCCGGGTCTACGAAATCAGCTATATTTTTCCCTTCCATAATTTCCGGTACAACATCATATTTCCATTCATCTTTAGCCAATTTAAAGTGTTCCTATAAAGGAAAATTGAACACTCCGGCTCCTCCGTGTTCTTCTTGAATGTCTTTTAAAGTCGGTTTTTCGTATTTAAGTCCCTATAGTACCGATTAGGGGATCACTGGCGTTCTTAATGTTGAAGAATTTCTGATTTTTGAAGGATTTGCAATATATAAGCCTCTTAGGAATTATTCTTCTCGTTTAATATTTAGGTTTCCTCCAGCTATACTTTCTATTTTTTGACCATCTCGGAATTTAAGGAGAGTTTCACAGGCTGTAGTTTTTACTTCTTGGATGTTTTCGCCAGTTTTGCAAGACATAGAAACTAGTTGAGCGTTGTTTTTTTCCACCAGATCATTTATTAAATTTTGATCTTCAATAGACAGATTGTTGAAGGTCTTTAAGTCAATTTTCGATAAGACTATGCACAGAGGCTTATTCTTGAATAAGGGTTTGATAGAGTCAAAGAGTTTAACTTATTATTGGATTGAGTAGCCACATTATTCAGAAATATCAATAATAAATAAAATACAGGCCTTTAAATGGGCTAAAGCTGTTATACTTTACATTTCGATAGTGTTTCTTTATTCTAATGAATGATCGAGGATACCAGGAGAGTCGATTACTTGCCATCTCACTTTTTCATAGTCTGTATGTCCAACATATAAAGACTAAGTTGTAAATGGATAACTTTAAACTTCTACATTTGCTGATGTAATACTGTTTATAAAACTACTTTTACCAACATTAGGATAACCAGTAATTAGGATTGTTCTTTCAAATGGATTTATAGAAGGAAGTCTTGCTAAATGTTTACGAACTTCCTCTAAGTAATTTAAACTGCTATTAAGTTTCTTTATAATCGTGCAAATTCTAAATATATATAATTATATAAATATGTAAATATATATATATATATATATATATATATATATATATATATATATATATATATATATATATATATATATATGTATATTTACCTTCCAAAGCAAGCTTTTTTTAATTATTTACATCTATATAAAGAATCTGCATATTTAATTAATCTAACATAATCTTTGCATACATTATCGACTAAATTCATACATGAATGAATATGACCTAAAGCTAGTTTATAGTGATCTTTGTCATATAAGACATTTATTAAATCAGAAAAAAAAGGATGAATATCATCTAATTTTGGAAAACCAGTTAGAATGTCGTTGAATTTATCGTGAACTGATTCTTAAGTGAATTTTATTTTACGCATATAGAAACCTCGGATACGACCGATAGCGTAACCTGGATGTACTACTGTAGGGGTCTTTCTTTGGGTTTTTGATAAGATTATATTTATGAAATCTTTTGAAGCTGGAATTGTTTTTATGGATTTGAAATTGTAGTTCATTTTTGTTTTTTTTGTTTTTTTTTTAATTTTATATATTTTTTTTTATTTTAATTTTGTATTTTTTTTTTGGCTTTTGTTTATATGATTTGTTTTGCTTTTGTATTTTATTAATTTCTGAATATTTAATTTTACTTTTATTTAATGTATTTTTAGTTTTATATTTATCTGCTTATATTATTATTTTTTGATTTTATTTGTACTTTTATAATTTCATATTTTTTGTTAATTAAATTCGATTATTTATTCACTAATTACCATATTTAGCAAAACTAATAATAAATACTTTTAATAATATTTTTTTATAAATTTAAACTAAGAACTTAAATTATATACATTCTTAATATTTTAAAATTAAGCATAATAATCAAATAAAGAATAAATTAGTAAGTATTCGTTTATAATGTCAAAAAAAAAACCTAAAAACGTTATCAAACTTTTTAGTCATTAATTTAAAATAGAAAAAAGCTTTTTAATAAATAAATAAGAACTATAATATCTTCTTTTTTTAGTTCTAAAAAAAAAAAAAAAAAAAAAAAATTGCTTTATCTATTATAGTGTATATATTTTTTTTATTTATAAAATAAAATAAAAATAATAAACTAATTTTAATTATGAAATTAAAATATAAAAGAATAATTTAAAATATTTTTTGAAATAAAAAATATATAATAATAAAGAATTATTAAAATTTAAACAAAGATTAAATAGAAATCTAATTAAAAATAAACAAACAACAAAGCCTTTTACAAATAAAAATTGAAAGAATATTATGAGTTATTTTTTTAAAAAAAAAACAATAAAAATAATTATTTTATAAGTTTAAAATTAGATAAATAAATAATAATAAATTAATAGAAATTTATGACTAAAAAATAAAAAATTAAATTTGAATGAATAAAAAAATATATAAATATTATATTAGTATAAAATTAATAAAATAAATAAATATTATTTTTTAAATGTTTCAATTATTTTATTATATTTTTACAAAAAAAATTAAATTTATGTTAATTTTTAAAATCTATCAAAGTTTTAATAAATTAAGTTTATTCTAATTTTTAATAAGTAAACATAAATATTTAAATTCATTATCTTTATTTAGGAAATTATATAAGATTCAACATATTTTAGAATATATTAATAATTTTTTTTTTTTTTTTTAAATATATAAGAAAATTATATATAAAAAAATCTTTTATTCATTTTAAAATTAGAAATAATAAAAATATAGTTAAACTTTTTAAAAAAAAATTATAAAAAAATTAAATATTTCCTTTGTAAAAATTATAAATAAAATAATTAGAAATTTGAAATATTTAATTATTTATCATTTAAGTTGTTATATATTAAAAAAGGCTGTATATTAAATAAAAATAAGGAGTTATTTATATATAATTAGTTTGAATTTAATAATATTTTTTAATATAAATAATTATATTAATATTAATTTAGATTTTATTTTTAATAACAAAAAAAAATACATTTTTATATGAAATGCATTTATATAATTTTTAATTTTAAATTAGTCATACTAAAATATATATATATAAAATTATAAAATGAAAATATAAAATTAAAAATCATAATTTTTATAAATTGAAATTTTAGTTTTAATGTTTATAAAATTATATACTTTAGATAATTTATAAATTATTAAAACAAAGTATAAAATTATTTTAAAAAATTAATATAAATTTATATTTTAATGAATAATTATATTTATATTCATTAATTTAAGATAAATATAATTTATTTAAAAAACAAACTATAAATAATGATAATTAAAATAAAAAAATATTTAATATCTATTAAAATCAAAATAATGTATATATAATTTAATAGACTAATTGTAATCATCCACAAATAAATAAAAAAAATATTAAAAAATTATATAAGATTTTATAAAAGAAAGAAAAAAACTATTTATATATAATATGTAAAAATAAATTAACAAAAAAATAACAAAAATTACAAAATAACAAAAAATAAAAATATTAAAAAATAAAAGTAAAAAAAAAAAGTAATATATATTATAAAATTCAATTATATATGGATTAAACTTTTAAAAAAGAAATTTAAAATTCAGAAGACTCATTATAAAATATGAAGCAATTTCAGGGATAATAATTAAATGAAAATTAATATCATAGTGATTAAAAAGATAGTTAGGATAATAATTTAAGTAATTCTAAGAAAAAATATTAATTAATTTCAATTGAAAAACGTAAAGAGTTTATAGATTAAGTTCTTTAAAAAAAAAAGACTATAAAATAAGCTGCGTCTGATTTGGGGATAAAATTTTCAACTTCAAAGGCAATTTTATAAACCTATAAAAGAGAAGGTAGAATAGGGAAAAAGAAAACAAGATAAAGAAAATAAAAAAAAAAAAAATCAAATAATAATATAGAATTATAATAGGAAGGTGAAAATGAGAAAGGTGAAACAAAAATAGAAAAAATAATAAAAATTGAAAAATAATAAAATCAGGAATTTTAAAATTTAAAAAATAAAATGATTCCGACAAATATTTAATAATAATTATAAAATTAATAGTAAATATAATAATAACAATATTTATAATAATAACATTAATTGTAATAACATTAATAATTATAAAGCTAATAATAACATATTTAATAATAGTAACAATAATAATAACAATAATAATAATAACAATAGTAATAATAATAATAGTAATAATAATATGAAAATAATAATTTTTATTAATAATAATAATTTTAGTAATAATAATAATTTTTATAATAGCTCTAAAATAATAATAATAGTAAATAAAACATTCCAAGTCCTTTTAATTTTTCTAAATAATCTATTGAATTACCAAATAATTTCAATCTGAATAATTTCTAAAATATTTCTTAATTCCAATAAATGAAACCAAATATTGTTTCTAATGAAAAACAAGATTTTTAAACAAGCGAATAAATTATACCCAAAAATTCCGATGAAATTAATTTTAAAAGCGATTCCGAATAAAAAAAAATTGCTACTTTATGTGATTATTAATAAGATTTTAGTAAATAATAATAATTATAATAGATAAAAAATTTATAAAAAAATGGAATAATTAGTAATACTAATGATAATAATTATAATAATATTAATACTACTACTAATAATAATATGAATATTAATAATAATAATTAATAATAAAATTAATATATGTTCCCATAAAATTAACCTCTTTAATAATACTAAATGAATATCATGAATATAGCACCCAACGGTAATCATTACAACTCATTTAATATGTTCAATATTGGGAATAATAAGGCTGATCAATCATTTTCTATGGACAATTTTTGTAATAATTTTGCTTTGTTTTAAAATTAAAACAATTAATTCGAAAATACTCCTAATATGAATAATAATATACTTGCACCAAAGATTTCAACGGATAATATAAATTTCTCTCTATTTAGAAATAGGGGTAGCTCTATGGATTTCTTACTTCCTAATTATTAAGGTTTGGATAATTAGTATTATTTGGTAAATGGAAGTAATTAAAATAATATTAATTGCTTTCTTTAAAATTAAAAAAATCCACTTATTTGAATTATAATTATATATTTTTATTTTTTTTAATAAAAATATAATATAAATATTAACATAGTTTTTTTTTTTTTTTTTTTTTTTTTTTTTTTAATTATTAAAATTATATTAAATATGTTTTTTTTTTTTTTTTTATTCAATACAATAAATTTTAAATTTTTTATATTTTTTTTTTTTATAATTATTCTTATATAATAATTATATATATTATCAATTTATATTATTTTCTATTTATATATAATTTTAATTTATAAATAATATTCATAACTAAATTATATTTGTATATCAATTTCTTATAAATTTATTAATCAAAATATTTTTATTTTTATATATATATATATTTATTGTAATTATAAATGTAATTTAATTTTTTAATAAATACCTATTTTTTATTCAATATTTAATTAAAAATATATTTGTATTAATTTTTTATTTTTGTTAACAAATAAAGTACATTTTATTATATAAATAATTTATTTCTAGTTATAATAAATAAAAAAAATTAATACATTTTTTCAACAAATAAATAAAATAAAAAAATACATATATTTATATTTAAAAATAAATAAAAACATTTCATATTAATTCTATTTTTAAAAAAAATAAAAACTTCATTATTTCTATTTATTGTCTTTTTACTTAATTTAATTTCTTGTCATAATTCCTTATTTATTTTTATCCATAAAAAGCTCATCATAATCTTCATAATCATCTTTATTAATATTCTTTATAATTATCTAAATCTCTTATTATATAATTTTCTAATTTTTTTTACTTTTAGTAATTTTCTAAGAACAAATATCCGCATGATAAAAATTTTTAAATAGAAAACTTAAAATTTCTATAACTTTTTACGCACAAACAGAAATAAAACTCTATTCTTGATTAAAAAGAACTGAATTAGAATAAATTAAGTTAGCATCAAATTCCATACTTTCTAAACTAATATAATAATTATGGAATATTCTTTTCTATATTTTGGTTAAATCCATACTCTAAGGAACTATTTCTAGATATTCTTTATATATTTTAGTATCTACGGGTTCTATGAAATACATAAAGTCACTTTTATTATATAGATGGGCATAATCAATGAGTTTATTTAGAATTTTTCTTTCCTTTTTTTCCTAAAAATATTCAATTTTTTTCAATGGTAAATCTTATATTATGTCCCAAAACGAAATTCGAATGTTTTTTGTCGAAATTCCTTTTTCATTTATTAGTTTTATTTAGATTTTTTGCCAGTCTGAATTTTTGAAGGCTTCTTCTTTTCCTAATTGTAAATCGAAGATTATTCCTTAAAAAATCTCTTTGAAAAAATAACATTAGATGTTCTATTATTATTTTAATATCGGCCTTTTCTCGAAAAGAAGTCGTGGAATTAAAAAGTTATGTGATTAGAGTAGAGTATTCGAATAATAGAGGAAAAAGTGGTCGTTTTTATCCATTATTTTTAACTTCAAAAGCATCATTATAGGCCTATCTTGGTATTTTTCAAGCATTTCGCGAGTATTTAGGACTGGAAATGAATAGTTTATTTCCTCTATTTGGCATAATGTGGGTTAGAGTAATTATTTGTGAGTCTGAACAGGCAAAACATGAAAATTTGGATTGTTAAAGTAATTTTTTTTGGCAATTTCTACTTGGTTAGGTTTATATATTGTGCTTATTTTATTAAATAATTACTAGAAATCGAACATTTCTAAATAATAAGAGCAATATTCTTCATGTCCTTAGAATATATAATAGACTTAGTCACCTATTTGTGGTAAAAACTCATATAAATTATTAATTTCTTTATTTAAATAATTTCTTTGGAATAATCTTTTATCTTAAGAGTTTAAATTTTGTCTTTAAAAATGAATATTAGCAAAGCAATCAAAACATTAATATAATTTATTATCTTTAAAAAATCCTCTATATAAACTACAAGGATTTTCATGGAATTTTTTTAAACAAAAAATGCAAGATTTATAAGTATTATTTATATTTTTTTAACATCTTTCACATTTTTAAATATTTTTGATATTTTCATGGTTTTTTTATATATATAAATTTTCGGTATTTTTTTAAATATTTTTTTATATGTTTTCTGTATTTTTTTACATATTTTAGTTATTTTCGGTATTTTTTTATATTTTTTAAATATTTTCGGAATTTTTGACTTTTTTTTACGGAAAATCTTCGACTTTTTCTTCTTAATTGAATTCGCTTTATTTACGTTTTTTTTGATTTTTTTTTTAATAAAAAGATGAATTTTCTGAATTTTAATAACTAGTTTATAATTCTTCATTATTTTTATAATATTATTTATTTTTTTAACGTAAATTTCTTTTAAAATCTTCATATTCATTTTCTTAAAATTATTATTATTTTCTAGTTCGTGTATTTTCTTTTAAATACTTTATTTTATTTTATTCATAATTAAAGGAAGATTCACTTTATAAATCTTTTTATTTAGAAAATCTTAATAGTCTTCTTTTTTTTTTTCTATTTATTTAATTATAACTATCTTATTCTTATATAATAGAATCATTTTCTTATTCACTTTTCTTTATATAATCTTCTTATATGAAATCATTTTATTCATCTTATATGAAATCTTCGTCTTCTTCATATTAATAATCTTCATCTTCTGAATCTTCTTCATCATAATCTTCAAGTATTTAGTTTTATATTTATTATTTTTAATAATTATTTTCTTGAGTTATTTATTTCTATGCTGGTTAAGTATAATTTTCTTCTTACTATTATTAAATATTTTTTAATAATTTAGGTCTTCCTCTTTTTTTCTTTTTTAATAATTATTATTAATCTTAAATATCTTGATTATTATTATTTTCTTATTAATAATTACTTTCGTTAATATAATTTTCAAAATTATTATTTTTTTCTTCTTCATCTTCTTCTACAATAAACTTTTTCTTTGATTTTCTCATTTCCAAAAAATTATCAACTGCCTTTAACTATATTAATTTTTGGTCTAAAAATACTCCCATTTTGGTCAAAATATCCATTCTTTCTTAAAAATCTACTCTCTAGCTTCCTTCCATTACATAATTTTCATTATCAAAAGAATCCCTTAAGATTTTAATAAGCTAAACATAATTATTTCCTTTCAAAGCCTTTCCTTTTTCTTATATTTTTCCTAAATACGAGCTTTTAAAAAACCCTTTTTCCTTTAATTTCCTCAAGCAATTTTTAAACTTAAAAGTATATGGAATTCTTTAATAATTGCAAATATTTCCTCTTTAAAAACTATTGATTTCTCTCCCAGAATCATCTTCTGCCCTTACTGGAACTAAATTATCATCTAAAACAAAAATCTCAGTATCATTAGCAAAAAACTATTCACTAGGTGTACTTTTATAAAAATCAACTAAATCGCATCCATATATACTAAATGATCCAAAATAAGTACTCACAGCAAACGATAAGCCATCTGGAGCCCATTATCCATCTAAAACTGGTACTTCTAAATTCGGATAGCCTATATGATATCCCCTTTCTTGGAATAAATTCAATAAACAGCCTACTTAGATATCATAGATACATATTTAACCAGAATAATCCGCTGTAAGGAGTATATTTTCGAAAAAAGGGTGAGGTTCTAATACCAAAATATGATCCTGGAGTTTAATTGGTGTATTTTATTTAGTAAATTCTTAAGTTTATTTACTCATTTATAAATCATATACATAAAGTACTGTTTCTACCTCTTTTGTGCGTTTAAATTTTCGGGTAAAAGTTGCAAAAGCAAATCTATTTTGGCAAGAAAAAGAGGCATTCCAGCAGTTTTTTTCGCTTTTTTTTATCATTTTTTCTTCCTCAAAATATAATGTGATGATATTTTCTTTTAGTTTTTTTTCGTTATTTTGTATCAAAAATTCCCAAGGCCAAATTTTCGCTGTTCCGTCAAAAGATGCAGTTATCATAAATTCTCCATTTTTAGAAAATTTTATTAATTGGCAATTTTATTTATGTTCTCTTTTTTCTATTAAGGGTAATATCGGGTTTCTTTTATTTTCTAATAAATGAATTTTATCCCAAATCATTATTTCACCGTTTTCCGCTCCAGAAACTAAATAACCTTGGGGATGAGTTTCTAAGCAAACAGCTTCCGGTTCTTGGTCTTATATTTATTATTACTATTATTGTTGTTAGTATTTATTTTTGTTATTTTTTCGAAATTGAAGGGTTATTATTGGATTAATTTATGGATCTATTCCACCTGGATTTGTACTTTTTTTGAATTGATTTTCTTTATATCTATTTTTTTTTTTTAGTAAATATATAAATATTTTTTTTAATGTATATTTTTTATATTATATATATATATATATATATATATATATATATATTTTCAATTTATATTTTTTACAAACATATAAAATATTCTATTATACATATACATATAATAATATTTTTTAAGCATTTTTTTATGAATATTTTTATTTAAAAACAAAAAATATAAAATTTTTTACATTTTTGTTATATTTACATTTTAAAGTTCCCTTTTACAGACATAATAATCAAATAGAGATGGTTAAATCCTTATTCATTTACATATTAATAGAAAGCGACTACATTTAACAATTCCTAACTTTTAAAAGTAATCAAACACTTCTAATAGAAAATGTCCCAAACTCTCGCACTTTAATCCACTGAGCAAGTAACTAAATATTAATTACATGGAGAAATATCATTACTAACAATACTACTGGTATGTCCTTTAAGATTAGATAAAAGAAGTCCGTTTTGAGAACTCCAAATTTTAATTAGACCATGTTCATCGCCTGTGAAAATTAATTTACCACTTTTATCGTATGTTACGTTGTATACGGGAATATATGGCTCACCTGTCTCTTCATTTACTTATCCAGATTAGACTGTGTATGCATGTCCAAAACAGGTTTTAAGGTGTTGAAATTTTAATGTAAAGGGGTCGGTTTATATATGATTTTGTGAGTTTTTTTTTTTTTATTTTTGGGTTTTTATGAAGATATCTCGTTTAGATTTTATTGCTTTTTTTGGATTTTTTAAATGAGATGCTGTTTCTTAGATGAGGGTTAATGGGAGTACTTTTTTTATTGTTTTGGGTATATTTAAAGATTGAATTTTAATGAATTCTTCTATTATTATTTCTAAGTCTGGTAAAGTCTTTTATAAGTTAGTTTTTAATTGAGTTTATTACTAATATGTGTATTCTGGGTATGTGTAGTATTTTTCGCCGGTTATTGTGAGGGATTTTCCTAATATATTTTTATCTTCGATTGCTTTTTGTAAAGTCTTGATTATTGGATTTTCTACTTGGTTGTCTTTTAGGAGAAATTGTAAGATTAAGTAGTATAAGTGACTCTTTTGAACTGGTTTTTCTAAAATTTATTAATTCTTATTAGTTGACATTAATATTATTTAATTATTTTTATTTTTTTATTTTTAGATTTCTCTCCTCAATTATATGTAAAGTATATTAATTATATATATATAGTTTTATTTTTATTTTATAATTAATTTTTTTTTTAAAAAAAAAAAAAAATTTCAAGGTAATTATATATTTATTTTAATATCATAATTTATTATTTTTTTAAATAAAATGATTATCTTATTTATTTTACTTATAAATTATATGTTTTATATTTATATTTCACATAAAAATAAGGCTTTTTTATTTTAATTATCAAAATAAATATAAATAAATATCATAAACTAAAAACTAAATTGCATTTATATCAGATATATAAATTGTTTTATGTAAAGGTACAAAAATATATAAAATTAAAAAATATGTCAAAAATCTTTTTATTTAAAAAATGAAAAATTCATTATAAATATTTAAAAAATTTAATAATCAAATATAATGTTTTTTTATGATGTTATAATAAAATAAATATTTAATATTTTACTAATGATAAATTCTAATTTTTTTTTTTTTTTTCTTATATATACAAAATTAAAAAAAATGGATTTTTTCTATATATATATATTTTTTTTTTATAAATAAATATTAAAAATTTATTGATTATAATTATTATTATGATAAATTTTTTATATAAGTAAAAAATTAATTTGTATTAAGGCAATTTAAAATAGAAAAAAGTATTTTTTTTATTAATTAAATATTAAAGAATATTTTAATATATTAATTAATAATTATATTATTATAAATTATTTTATATATTATTAAATTTTAATTATTTATATAATTTATATTTAAACTAATTAAAAAATGCATAATATTAAAAAATTAGATTTTTTCGGCACATTAATATACATAAGATACAAAAACGATTATAAAAATAAAACATATTTAGGGTCTATCATATCATTAGGTATAATAATGATATTAATAGCCTAAACATATTATGAAATGAACGATATTGTAAATAAATATAATCCAGTAGTAACTTAAAACGAAATATATAAATCTGATTAACAAAAATTTATATTAAATTAAGAAAATTTAACTATTTTATTTTCTATTGAAAATAATTAAAATAATTTAATTAATGATAATTAATATTTTTAATTTGAAGCTTTTTAATATATAAAAAAAATCATTCTAAATGAAAATTCAGAAGTAAAAGATTAAATAACTTAAAAAATATAACTTAAAATAAGCTCATGTGAAAATATTAAATTCAATAATGAATATTATGATAATTTGAATTTTAAAAATAAAATGTTTTGCTTTAATTATGAAGATAATAATTAATAAATACCTTATATATAAGGTGATTAGGAATTAGATAACTATAGTTCAATTAAAATATATATAAAAAAATGTAAAAATGAAATAAATGATAAATGCAAAAGTGATTAAGAAATATAAGAATATATTAATGATTCTAAATTTAATGTTTATTTTAACAAAATAGTCGCTTCTCCATATAATTTTACTAATCCATTTTAACAACATATACAAAAAAATTAATTTTATATAAACAATGGATAAAAAAAAGAAATATAAATGAAATTTAAAAATAATTATGTATTATCAGATATAGGTATGTTTTTTTAAGATAAAAAAGAAACTAAAAAAACATTATTTACTTAATTCTGTGAATAAGTAATATATTTCAAACAAAATATTTATTTAATAATGTATATAAATTTATATATTTATGTTTATATATAATTATATATTTACAATATTTTTATTTTTTTTATAATTTTTTAAATCTTTATTTATTATAGATAGATGCTTCTGATAATTAATAATTTCTTTCTTTTGAACTATAAATGGAAAGCAATATGTCAATAATATTTGATAGAAAATATAAAAAAATATAAAATCTACTCTCTTCAGTAGGAGGTATCGCTAAGTCTTTAGTTTTTATAGGATATATATTTATATTTCCTATTAACTAACTAAACTTAAATATTAATTTGATTAAGTAATTATTTTAATTTAATTTAATAAATATTTCTAATAAATAAAATTAAGATAATTAAATTATTAATAATTCCAATAATAATAAATAATAAATTAATAATAATTTTAAAGAATCAAATAATATAAATATTATAAATTTAAAAAATTAAGAAGAATAATGTATGAATATAATACATAATAATAAAATAATAAATAACACATAAATTTAAAATCTATAAAGTAATAAAAAGTTATTAATTCAGAATGAAAATAAATAATTAAATTAAAAAAAAAATTAATTGATATTTAATATTTAAATGAAAATTAAAATATAGATTAAGATAAAAATTAAAAAATTAGTAATAATAATAATTAATATAATAATGATATTAATAATGCAAATTAAATAATTAAAAATTAAACCTTTAATATAAATTAATAATAAGAAAGTATTTTTCAAAATATTTAAAATTAAAATTTATTAAATTCTCCTTAAAATATAATTTCCTAATTATCTTCTATATAATAATAAATATAAAATTCTTAAATTATAGAAGAAAAAAAAAAGAAAATAATTTAAATAATAAAAAATTACAAATTACAAATTAAACTAATAATAAATTTATGCATTATACATTTTTTGATTATTTTTGTTATTACTTATGGCCATTTGGGAAAATCGGCAAAAAGAAAAAAGTACTTTAATATGCCATAAAAAAAATACAAAACTAAATGGATATAATATAAATAATAAATAAGCTTTAAGAAATAGACAAACTAAAAACTTTACTTTTAGATAAAGATTAAATAAAGCTATTTGAATATTTACCTAAATAAGTTATTTCAGTAGATTAAAATTATTAAATAATCAAAAAAAATTAGGAATAAAATTTAAATTAAGATGATGATAGTATATAAGAACTATTTCCAGATGAAAATTTAACTTATGAATAAAAAGCTTCATAGGCGATTAATTCTTATTAAAAAATTAAAGAAAAAAATGTTTTGAGTTATATTGATAAAAAATTAATTTAATATTTTAATTTAGAATTTTTTTAATAAAGTTTTAAAAAATATAATTTAAATATAGATTAAATTATTTCTAACTCAATTTTCTATTAAAAAAATTTATAGAATAAAACTAATAAAGAAAGTTTATTTAAATAAATTATGTATAAATTAAATGATAATTAAATTAACGCTGATTTCGATAATATAATTGATAATGAAAAATTAGAAAACGAAGGTGCTATATAACCTTATATTTCTAAATAACTTAATACTAAACGTTTTTTATGAAATCCGAATATAATATATGATTTTTATAGAAAAAAAATTATGTAAAATATGAAAAAAAATTCTATTAATTACGTATATATATTATAAATATTGTTTATATAAAAAATCATTTTCATTTTAAATTATATTTATATATAATATTATTTTATAATTATATTTAAATAAATACACTATTTAATTAATTTTATTTTCAAGTCTATTTTTATTTAGTTATACTCAACAAACATTATTTTATTTTCTTTTTAATTAAAGGAGAACTTAATTAATGTAATTATTTTTAAACATTAATCAATTCTTAATAGTTTAACTTATTAAAATCTTAATAATTTAAATACTGATAAAATAAACAAGTTATCTCAGCTAAAACTAAAATATATCTAATTTATAAAAAATAGAAATACTAATTTAAATCTAAAAATTAAAAAAAAAAAAAAACCTAAATAATTTTTCCTTATTTATTTAATTTTAAACTAATAAAAAGTTTTCATCTTTTAAGAATAATTTTTCAATACTAAAACCTAAAATTAGAACTTTCGGTATTAATTAAATTAAATTGCTAAAAACCTTTATATATATATATATTAATTACTTAATAAAGCTTTTGTTCTTGCATAAAATAATTAATTAAAAGAAGTAATTAAAAGAAGAATAAAAAAAAATCCAAAATAAAATAAAAAAGTTGTCAAATCAAAAATATTATTTGCTATCCATTATTAAATATTTTTAAGTTCATCAATTCCATTAAACAAATCATTCAACAATAAAGAAACTTTATCTGATTATTCACTCATTTATTTATACATAGATTAAAAAGAAATATTAATAGCATTTTTAAGCGTCTCAATATTACTTTTACTTTCCTTAATAATATACTTTATTATAAATAATAAAAAATTATAATACTTTTAATTATTAATTAGTCATTTAAGAAAGTTCATATTATTATTAAATTTATTATTCCATTTTTTATTATTCTTTAAATAGTTAATTAGACTTATTAATATTCTCCTATCTTTAATATATATTTTAATTTTTATTTTTTTCAAATAATATATAATTTACAAATATAAATTAGATTTTATAGTGTTTTCTTATATTGAATCAATCAAATTTTAAGTATTTTTTTACCAATTCAAAGCTTAATAATAAAAGCATATATTTTCTAAATGAGTATAATATGTAATATATGTATTCCTTAAATTTTATATTTAAATAATCTATTTTTAATATATATATATAATACCAACTATCACCTTAAAGATTAGATGAACAATCTTCAAATTTTTAATCTTCTTCACAATTATATATTTATTTATTAGATTTTAAAAAATGACAATTGGATATTTTAAGTGCAATCTTATTTTTTTGTTATATTTAAATAATATAAATTATAAAGATATTTTTAAAAAATACTCTGCTTTTTTAATCATCTGACATTTCTGAACATTTTTCGTTTATACTTTGTATTATAGAACCAATACATGAAGATGTTTGAGCGGATTTTTACATGAATATGAATGAATCTTTAAAAACAATAAAAAAATTATTTTATAGTTTAATATTACGTTTAATTCTTTCAGTATCTTATTCAGAAATATTTGGAAACTTTAATTATTATGTATCTAGTTTTTGTATAAAAAAATAATAAATTACTAAAATAAATTAAATTATCATTATAGAATTTTTTAATAAATTTCTTTGTTTTTAATTATTGATTTTGAAAAACTTTATGTATATAAATTAATTTGTTAAAAAATTTAGAATTTGAAAAATTCGAAAACATTATATATAAAAAAATATAAAATTAATTAAAAATAAATATATATATAAATAAAAAGATATATTATATATGCATATATATATTAAGATATAATTAATATCATAATAAGATATTATAAAAATAATTAATATATATTTATTTTAACTTTTTATTTAAAATAAATTTTTTATTATATCCTTTTTATTTAAAATTAAATATATTTAACATTTAAATATAATATTAATAAATAAATTAATTACTAAACATTTTTTATTTTATTTATTAAATTAATAATAATTTTTTCATTTATATTCTTTTATTATTATTTGTATATTTATTAGATTTTTATTTATAAAGCTATTATTTTATTTTTTTAATGTTATTTTTCTTTAATATAAAAAAATACTTTTTTATTTTATTTTTGTAATTCTTTTTTTCAAAAAACACGATATTTTTAAGTTTAATTTTTGTTTATTTTTTTATTTTCATTTTTTTAATAGTCATTTAATTTATTAAAAAAATAACTTATGATATTTTCCTTTATTTTTTTAGATTTTATGATTTATTATTTTTATATAAATTTATCTTTTATAAATAAAAATATATTAAAAACTTTAAATATCAAATTAATATTTTATAAAAGATTATTATATGAATTTATATTTAATTATATCAATTATAAACTAACAAGATAAAATAGCATATAAAAAAAAACTAATTAAAAAATCAATTAAACATTAAAAAGAAAAACTCTACTTAACAAAAATTAAAAAAATAATAGTGGAATAACAAACAAAAAATAAGTATTAACATAACAAAAATATGACGTAAAACAGTAAATCGAAATTATTATTTGTAATTAAAATTAAAATTAGCAATATTTGTGTATTAAAAATATATAAAATCCCAAATAATTTTACAATGAATTTAAAGAATTATTTAAGAAAAAGAATTAAAATAAGAGAAAAAAGCAAAACTTTAAAAGATTATGAAATGATGATAAAAAGGTTTTAAGAAGAATATAAGAAAATAAAAATATGGAATACTTTATATTGAAATATTAATTTTTCTAACAATTTTAAGTCAATAAAAAACTTATATTATAATTAATTTATAAATTTTATCTTTACTTATGGTTTTTATTTAGTCTGAAAATTTTCCATATATTTATTTCATTTGATTAAGATAAATGAAATCAAGGAAAACAATATATGTTTAAAATATAAAAATATAAAAAAAAGGAGGATATTTATACTTACTTTTTTTAGAAAATTAACAAATAAAAAACAAATAAATAGAATAGAATTCTTTAATTTGAAGAATTTCATATTTTTTAATTATAATATTTTATATTTTGTATTGTATTAAAATATGGCGAAAAATTTTAAAGATGTTTGACCATGTTATATATAAAAAATAAATTAATCATAAAATTTAAGTATTAATAAAATACTTAATTCATAAATTTTAATATAAAAATACTTCATGAATTATTAAAAATAAAAAGGATTAATAACTTTATATATTAAAATATAAATATATTGATTATTTAACTGAAAGTGTTCATATATATATATAATTATTAAATATAATTTAATCTTATTAAACATTTAAGTATTACTATTTTAAAATTAAAAAATTATATAATAAAATTAATATACATATAAATAATGAAAAAAAAATATATATATTTATTTATATATATAATGTTTTTAGAAAGAAAAAAGAAAAAAATTTAAAAATAACAAATATTTAAATTTTTATTTTAATAAAAATATTATTTAATCATTCGAAAAAAAAATAAAAAAAAATACGTATTTATTTTCTAAATAATTTAAAAAAAATAAATAAAAAAAAAGTTAAGATAATAATTAAAAAATGGAAGAAGAAATAACAAATCAACAATAAACAAACCAAAATTAATTAATTAAATAATTAGTTGAAGCAATAGAAGAAAATCTACGAAATCATTTTCCTTAAAACGCAGTCTTTTTAGCAGAAAGACTACTCGCAGAACATGATAATGAAGACACAAGAAGTATTTTAGCAGAATGCTATATGGCCGAAAACAAACATTATAAAGTATATGAAATATTAAAAAATTGTAAATCTGAAATAAATAGATATAAATTTGCTTTAGTTTGTTTAAAATTAAATAAGTATTAAGGTTTTTTGATTTTTTATGATATATATATAAAATATTAAAATTAAGAGATAATTTTTATAAAAAATATTTTTATATATATTATTAGATGGGGAAAAAGCACTTTTGGATTTTTAAAATGATTTTATTTTTTCTTAAAAAAGTAAAGGAAATAATTTAGAAAATATTCCAAATGGAGCCTATGGCTATTATCTTTTAGGTTTAATATTTGAAGGATAATAAAAATTTGCAGAAGCTAAAGAATAATTTATCAAATCTCTCGATTTAAATCCTACTTTATGGGTTGCTTATGAAAAACTATGTAAAATAGGAGATTAAGAAAGCCTTCCAATTAAAGTATAATATTAGAAAAAAAAAGAAAGAAAAAAAATTATATATTTTTTAAAAAGACATATTATTTTTAACATTTATTAATATAATTTTTTTATAAACAAATCAATATAATAAAAATACAATATTAATATATTTATATGATTTTAACTATAAAATTAAAAAGGTTTTTTGTGAAGGAAAATATAGATAATATTTATTAAATAAAAAATCACAGCCATCTAATATTTTCTAAAAAGTTTTAAATGACCCAAGACCTTTAGAAGTTTAGTATAAAATATCAAAAAATACAAAAAAAATAAAAATATAAAATAAAATAGAAGTGAATAAGAAATACAAAATATTCCATAAAACAAAACTAAAATGCAAGCTTAAATTTACTAAATGAGTAAAAATAAATAAAAAAAATCAAATAGTAATAAAAAAAAAAGACCTTGCCACTTTAAAACAACAATTAAAACTTCCTACAAGTTCTCCCTAACAAACCACTTATATTCCATAACAACAAATACCTAATATTCCTTAACAAAAACTCTAAATAAGCCGCAATAATAGCAACTCCCGCAATAATAGTCAAAAACGTAAAAAATCAATCAAAACAGTCATCTAACTTTAAGGCTAATAAGCTCCACAAGATCCCTAATAACAATAGCAATAACAATAACTTTACTAACCTAATAACTAGCAATTATTCACCTAATTACTCCAAAACCAATAATAAATTTACTCCTAAACCCAAAAATTAAGCACAGAACATTACTAAAAAGACTTAATATCCTTACTAAGGTCCTTAGGAGAGGCTTTCTATCACATGTCATTATATATGTGCAAAGAAGCAATTGATTATTTTAATAAACTTCCCCGAAATCACTATAATACAGGTTGGGTATTAGCAAACATCGGGCGATGCTATATGGAAATCGTGAAGTATTCCGAAGCCGAAAAAATGTACGCGGAAGCTTTAAGAATAGAGCCTTATAGACTTGAAGGAATCGAATACTACTCAAGTTGTCTATGGCATTTAAAAAAATAAGTCGAATTATGCTATTTAGCACAATAAGCTTTAGAAAAATCTGTATTTGCACCAGAAACATGGATTGCAGTGGGAAATTGTTTTAGTTTATAAAAAGAACATGAAAATGCTTTAAAGTTTTTCACAAGAGCAATTTAATTGAATCCATAATCGGCCTATGCCCATTCTTTGTGTGGGCATGAATTTGTATATAATGAAGACTTTGGAAAGGCAAGGAAATCTTTTCAAAGTGCCTTAAATTTAGATATGAGGAATTATAATGCGTGGTGGGGGTTGGGAAATATACTTTATAAATAAGAAAAATATCAACGAGCAGCTGAAAGTTTTCAACATGCTATTAATATCAACCCAAAAAATCCGGTTCTTTATTCATTTATGGGAATGACGTTGGCAGCTGATAGGAATTTCAAAAAAGCTTTAAGTTTCTTCGAGATTAGTGAAAAATTAGACCCGAAAAATGGACTTAATAAATTCTAAAAAGCAAATACTTTGGTAAAACTTGAAAATTATGAAGCCGCACTAAAAGAACTTGAAGAATTATATAAGATGATGCCAAAAGAAGCACCTATACCAATGTTAATGGGTAAAGTTTATAAAAAATTAAAAAAAACTGACAAGGCACTTAATTATTTCACTCTAGCTCTTGATTTAGAAGGAAAAGATTCTCAAAGAATTAAAGCTTTAATAGAAAGCTTGCATTAAGAAAATTAAGATTTTGTAGAAGATTTGGAACTGTGATTTAGTTCATATTTTTTTTGGTATATTATTTAAACTATAATAATTTTTTTATGTTATTTCTTATTTTTATGAAAAATAATTTAAATATATATAAATATATATATTTATATATAAAAAGATAATATTTAATAGTATAACATAATATTAATTAAATAAATTCTAATATAATTTTTTTTTATAAAAAAAATATAAAAACAATAATAAAGATTATAATAAAAAAATATCATTCAATAAATAAAGGAGCTAAAACTAAAGTAATGGTTGAAAATAGTTTTATTAAAATATGAATAGAAGGCCCAGCAGTCTATAAAAAATAAATAAAATATATATAAGTATAAATGATATATAAATATATAATTATATATATATATATATATATATATATATATATATATATATCTATATATATCTATATCTTTTAATATCTTTATATTATTACATCTTTGCATGGATCTCCTACAGTATCTCCTGTTACCGCTGCTTTATGAGTTTCGCTTCCTTTGCCTCCTAATTCTCCAGATTCGATATATTTTTTAGCATTATCCCATGCTCCTCCAGCATTATTTAAGAATAGAGCCATTAAAATTCCTGTCGAAGTTGCAAACATTAAAAAGGAACTCATAACTTTAGCTCCAAGTAATTATTTTTATTAATAAATTCCAATATATTTAAAAAGTACCCCTACTATAACAGGTGTAAAAACCGCTAAAAGTCCAGGTTTAACCATTTCTCTTAGACCTGCTCTGGCTACAATTTCGACACATTATTTATAATTAGGTGAGATTTCTCCATGTAGAATTTCAGGATGTTCCTTAAATTATCTTCTTACTTCTTTTATTACATCTTAAGCAGCATTACCAACTGCTGCGATTGTCCAGGAAGTAAAGATAAACACACACATAGACCCTATTAGTCCTCCAATAAATATTTCTGGTTAAGTTATATCCACGGATGTTATTTTAGTTTTTGAAAATAGATTAACCTCGTCAATAAACGCACTAAATAATAAAAAACAAGCTAAACTTGCAGAACCGACTGAATATCCTTTTGTATTAGCTTTAGTAACATTTCCAACCTTTTTTCAATTTTATAAAAAAATAAAATATAAAAAAGTAATTACAGCATCCAACTTATCTGTTATTTTTCTAACTTCAGCTGGTTATTAAGATAATTCAGCAATGCCTCCTGCATTATCAGCTATAGGACCAAACCCACTCATAGAAAGTACATATACACCAGTACAAAACATTCCCATAGTAGAAATTGCAGTACCAAAAAGTCCTCCAATATTATCTCCTTTTTTATTTTAAATTCCTGAATTATCGCCTAAAAATTAAAAATATACATATTTATATAAATATATATATATATATATATAAATATATATATTTTTATATATATATATATATATAAATACCTAGATAATAAGAACCTAATAAACCTATAGATATAATAATAATAGGTAAGCCTGTACTTTCTAAACCTACACTTAACCCAGCAATAACATTTGTAGCATGCCCTGTTTTGGAAGCTTATGCTATATTTCTAACTGGCTAATATTAATAATCAGTATAATATTAAGTTACTTCAATGAAAAGATAACTAACTAAAATACCTATCATTCCGCATAAAGAAAAATTAATCCATGCATAATTATTTCTCTCAGGGTTTAAAAAAACATAACACAAATATATAAACCCTATTATTCCAACTGACATAGATACCCTATATCCTCTTTTCATAATCACTAAAGGATCTTCCAATTCTCCATAATTGGTATCGAATTCTGGTAAACCAGCTTTCGTATTTACAAAAAATAAACCAATAGTTGACGCTATTAAATCCAAACAGTGTACTGCTAAAGGAAAAAGCATAAACGAGGCCTATTGACTCATTGAAAAATCAGCTTCTTAGGCTAAAGTAGCACCTAAAATCATCGCACTGAGAATTTCTGCGGAAATACTCTCGAATAAATCAGCTGCTTAACCAGCACAGTCTCCTACATTATCACCTACTAAATCTGCTATAACGGCAGGATTCCTATGATCATCTTCAGGAATGTCGCTTTCAATTTTCCCGATAATATCAGCTCCAACATCAGCCGCTTTAGTGTAAATACCGCCTCCTAATTAAGCAAACATAGCCACAAAAGAAGCTCCGAAGCCAAATCCGATTAGCAAAAGAGGAATTTATCCGACAATATCTTAAGCTGAATTAGAAGAAGGTAAAGTATATTTAAAATAAAAATACTACATCAAAAATAAACTACTTATTCCCAAAATAGCTTATGCAATATTTATTGCTGCACCAAAATAACCTCCATAAAAAGCAACTTTTATAGTTTCATTATAACATTTAGTAGCAGAACTGCATGTTCTATAAAATAAAAAAAATTAAATATAAAAAAATTATATAAGTAAAATATAAATATATTACTATATATAAATATATATATATATATATATATATATATATATATATATATATTTATATTTATTTTATTTTTTTATATATATTAACCTTAAATTTGCTCTCACACTAACCCACATTCCTGCATATCCTGAAAAGGCAGAACATAAAGAACCTAAACAGAAACTTATTCCTGAAAAAATACTCATAGTTAAATTACTAATTGTAAGTATTTCTTTTTCACCGACTTTTATTACTAATGGTTCTCTGAAATAATATACTAACATAATCATTATACAAAATACAAAACTCAATTTAAATATTGTTCCATATTGAGCTGTAAAAAAACCTTCAGAACCTTCTTGTATGTATTTGGCCATTAATTGCATTTCTTCAGATCCAGTTCTTCTTTTCATTATCCAGACTAAAATATGAGATGCATATATTAGGGCTTATACAGATATTATAAATGTTATTATTAAAAATTTTATAACTAAATTTATGTTCAGAAAACTCAAAAAGTAAAATAGAACAAATGGAAATGCCAAAAATATTATTTTAGCATAGAAAAATATTCCAGAATCTTATAAATCATTGTGATAATATATTAGAGAATCTGTAATTTATTTTTATTTTTTCATTATTTTTAAATATATTTTGTTAGTTTTTATATAAAAAAAAAAATTATATATATTAATATATTATTATATGTATATATTTTTTATTTTTAATAAAATAAGTTAAATATAATAAATATTTTTTTATAAAATATGAATTTTTTTTCGTTCTATAATATTTTTTTTTTTATTATTAATTTTTCTTTATATCTTATGTATTATAAAATTAGAATTATTTAATAATATTAAGTTGTAATGAGTAATTTATATTTTTTTGTTTAAATATTATAAAAACATTTAATAATATAAAAAAAATATAATTGCTAGAGTATATATTTAATATTAAATTATAATAATTTTTTTTAATATAATTTAAATAATGTATATATATATATATATTAATTATTTTTTATTTAAATAACACTATAATATAACACATGTAAAAATAATTTTAAATATAGAAAAAAAAACATTATTATATAAAATAAATAATATATATATATATATGTTTATATAAAATATAAAAATATATAATATTAATAAAATTATATTGAAATTTTTTTATAAAAAAAATACTTATTCATATGTGTTTCTGTAATAAATAATTAAATAATAATAATTAGTTCTATTTTAATAAAATATATTTTTAAAATATAATTATATATTATATTTCTTTTTATCCACAATTTTAATTTTTAATAATAAAGAAACAAACAAAATGATCAGATAAGAATAACTATAATAAAACTAACTATCTATAAATTCATATACCAATATTTATTAATAATAAGATGAATAAAATATATATTAATAACATTATAATGATTAGTACCAAACGAATTTCCAAGTATCGTAATAAAATCTCCGGTAGATATTAAAAAAGCGTCAAATTGAAAGTTAAAATAATCAATATTTTCTTTTTTTTTGGACATATATATTGTCAAATATATCAATTATATTATTATTTTTGATAAATAAATTATCTAAAAAATTTATGTTTTTATTTTTGATTTTATCAACATTTTTGTTAATTATAAAAAGGATTTAATATATCAATTCTTTAACCAAAATACACAATAATTAAGAAGAGTAATAAAAAATATAAATAATAAAAAAAATCAGAAAAATAAATAAATAAAACATAGATTTACAATTAATATTTCACAAGAAACAAATAATAATATTCGTTAAAATAATATAAATAGAAATAGAAGACAACATTAATAATAAAGATAATATAACTTAATAAATAACAATAATATTAATATTTAAAATAATTTAGATTAAATCATTTAATAAAACCTAATTAGATAATAATTAATTTTTAGTTATAATATGTAACGCTTATTATATAATAGATTATAATAATAAAATTATTTTTCTGGTATAAATTCTAATTCAAGAACTTGTTTAATTAATTATTTTTAGTTTTTATAGTAACTAAGGTAAATACTTTTGGTATAAAATTATGAAAATGATTTAACTATTTTCGATTTATATTAAAATTAAGAAAATTTTAAAGTCTTATCTTTTTCTGAAATCGAACATAATAAAGATAATATATGTTCTATTTGTCTAGAATATTATATGTAAAATACTTAAATTATTTAACTTCCTTGTAAACATTATTATCATAAATTATGTATTTAAAAATGGCTTTTTATAAATATTTAATGTCCTCTTTGTAGATAGCCAGTTTAAATTTGAATTTGTTTTTATTATTTCCTTATTATTTATGTATTTTATATTTTTATATAAAATATAAGGGTAACATCATTTCTTTTTTATACATAAAAAAATATAATATTATATATTAAAAAAAAAGAATTAATAATAATATATATTAAGCAAATAAATATAATTTAAATAAAAGTATATATAATTTATATCTGTGCAAGATATTAATTGTATTCTATTAAAATAATATGTTTATAATTTAAATATAAGAAAAATAATAATAAGTACTTTATTTAATTTACATTTTTTTATTATAATTTTTTATTTACTGCTAAGTAAATTCTACTATTCTTATCTTATCTTATCTTATCAACTATCTATTTTTATCATTATTATTATACATTAGGTTTTAATATATAAATTATATAATTTATGTATTTCCATATAATTTTCTATAGGATTTAAGCCTGTAGTATTAGGTGGTTGTGGCAGAGTTTTAATAGAATTTTATATTAGCCATTCTTTTTTCAAATATCATACATATGGCGTGGAGAATTATCATGAATAATTTTATTATTTTAATTATTTAATCTTGTTATTTTTTAAATAATTTTTATAAATAAATACAATAATGATATTATATATTATATTAATTTATAGCATTAATTGACTCTTAAATACAATTTTCTAAAATGCTATTAAAAATTTATTAAAAAAAGACTTGTTAAAAATTTTATTTTTAATATTTAATATAATATTATTCTTCGTTATATATATAGATTTACTAGCCATTTAAAGTCTTTTATATCATTTGATGATATATTAGAAAATTCATATTAAAAATTTAAAAATTTGTTGTTTATTGTTGATTTTAAAAGCAATCAAAGTATCCAACCAACTATTCTCTATCAAATATCTATAGAAAATTGTATTCCTATTTTCTTTATTTTAATAATAATTTTATTTTTTTACATTGAATTATCTTTATTATTTAATTTTAAATTTATAAATTAAATTATATCATATTATTATTTTCATTAAAAATGATAAAATTATTAATAATTATGAATTTAAATATGATATAAATAATTACATATATGCCTTTTTTTATATAGATAATTTTATATTAGTATAAAATAAATAATTAATTAGAATTTTAACAATTAATTAAAATTATATTCAAGAAATTAAACAATTTAAATTTATTTTTATAAATAATATAATATTATGAATAAAATACAAATATAATTTATTTACTTTTTATATATTATTATATTATTATATTATTAAGTTTATACATTAAGACAATCATTCTAATAATTTTTTTGTTTTAATTTAATTAACTATTATTATTATTTATTATTATATTAGCATATTATATTATTTTTAAATATTAAGAAAAATTAATATATCTTTAATTATTAAACAAACGTGTTTATATTATTTTTAAATCATTTAAGATTATGTTTTTTTTTAATTTATTATTAAATAACTTATAATTATATAATAAATTATTTTTTATTTTCCAAGTTTCCTATTTAATTTCAACGAAATGAAATAATTACATAAATGAGAAAAACTTCTTTAATTTAAAATGGATCTTTTTTTAACAAAAAAAATACGTTTGTCTTCCAAAAATATTATGTTAGTATTCATTTTATTAAAAAATATATCTAACAAAATAACAACATATAAATATTAATGAATGTTTTAATTAACTAATTCTTTTTTTAAATTAAATAGACTTATTAAATAATCTGAAATATTGTTTCTATAATTATAAAATAATTTAATTAATCAAATAGACTAAGAAAAAATTATGAAAGTTTTCTTTTAGTTTTATTAATTAATATTATATTAAAAAAAACAAAAATCCATTTTTTTCCTATATTTAAGATATAAATTAATTATTAATAATATTTAAAAAAATAATAAAATATAAATTTTGCTTATATATATATATAAATCAATAAATTTAATTTTTTATTTATTATAAAAACAAAACAAAAATAAAACTACTAATTTTAATAAATTAATTAAGTGAATACATATGTTTTTGTTTTTAAATAAATCAAATTACTTCTATATTATCTTTATTTTTTATTAATTAAGTATATTATTAATGCAATTAAGAAATAGACCTTTTATTATCACAATTTGGTTATAAATTTAAATTATAACTTTTATAATTTTGCTAAAATTAAATCTATTTATTACTTTTATATTAAATTAAAGCAATATCAGAAATATTATCTGCTTTTTTTAAATTGTTCTATAGATTTATACTAGCAGTACTCTAAGCTAATTATTTATATTAATCAATAATACTATCATGATAAAATTAAGCATTTTACCTAAATTATAAATATATTAATAATTATTTTTCTATATACATAAAAATATTAAAATATATTTTTAATAAAATTTATATACATTTATATATATAATATATATATTTATAAATATATATTTATATATATATATACATATATATTATATTATAATATTTTTAATAATTACTTCACTTATTGTATTTTTTCATCTATTTTAATAGGTATTATATGTGAAGGAATTTTACAATTTTTTTTTTTTTCTGTGTTTCTTTTTTAATTTATAATATTTTCTTAGATTTCTAAATTTTTTATTTTCCATTCTTTTATCTAGTTTTTATTTTATTTTTCATCTATCAATATTTTTATAAGATTTTAATTATTCTAATGTTATATTAAGTATTTTTTATTTTCTTTTATATCTTTAATTAATTATTATAAATTTTTTATTTTAAAAAATTTTTTATGTTTAAAAATTTATTTTTATAAATTAGCCTAATTTTATTATTATTATTATTATTTTTATTATTATTTTTTATTTATTTAATTTTATATATCTTTTAAATATTCTCTTTATAATTCTTTATATTTTTCTATTTAATTTAAAGCCATATAATGATTATCTAATAAATAGGCTTACTTGTTAACTTCAATTTCTGTTTATCGAAAATTTAAAATACTATTTTATGTATTGCTTTTGTTTTATTCAAACAAACTTTTTGAACTTCCATGTATGCAATATGCCTTCTTTATATTTTTATATAGTTAAAATAAATTAAATTATATTGAAAG